GCTGCCAGCATCAGTGCTTGTAATCAAATTGTGTTCTTTTTCTCCCATCAGTGTTATAAAGATTACTAGCAGATCACAAAACAGAGAACCATTACTAGTGATGAGGAGCCAATCCTTTGGGCAGAACAGCAGTACTTCATAGAGCTGCTTAGCCAGGTCTTCATTTTTGAAATGGTAAAGAAGAAAAAAGTCATGTTCTGTGGAAAACTGCAAGCACTTATCCAAGCTAAATTACTGAGATGGCATAGTGCTTTTCCGCCTCTGTAGTGAGTGTGAGTCAGAGTATTATACAAGTTCTTGTGCCAAAACCTGTGCCCAAAAGTAGCAGACTGTGGAGAGTAGCCCTTGTGTGTTACTCAGAGTATTTTTTAAATCATACTGATGAAGCTGCATGTGGGGTTGTACGTCTTGTTCTTTAAACTTTCACCCTTGGGATGTCCCACCTGCATTGCAGCCCAAGATGAGTTAAAATGATAACTTTGTGGCTAGTTGTTTAGCTGAACTGTAACTTAGCACTGAACGCAGCCGTGGAATACATGAGTTATTTTGGTCTGCATGGTGTTTGCGTTCAGCAGATTCCCGTTTGGCACACTCCATTAGGCAACTTATTGAAGAGTTAAGTTGTAAATTAAGGTCATGGCTGTGCTGTGAGTGCAGAATATGTATTGGGAGCCAGCTGAAAACAGCCTGAGAACTGCGACCACTCTAGCTGTACCACTACACTGCCCACTTCCACACACAGTGCTTCAAAAGAGCAGCTAACATACTGAGCCCTGCAGACTGAAACTCATGTCTTACTTTCAATCTGCTTACATTATGATAGGTATTAAGAATGTCTAAGCAATAAATTCCTTTTTGCCCCTAGGTGGAGAAGTTACTGTAAATGCTTGTCTTAGCAAGGCCTGAATTGAGTGCAATATAATAATGAGACTACCTTAATATTGTGAGTTTTCCTATCCTGGATGCCCTTGTTAACTTCTGTCTTGGCTTGCTAACCCCCAGGCACATTATGTTCCAGACTTCAGATAATTATGTTTCTTCTAGGTTATTACATCTCCCTTTCTTCTTTTTAAGGCAGGCTATTGCATTAAACATAAGTTTACCAGGGATGGCGATGGAAGGCTTCAAAGCAGAAAATTAGTTTTATTTACTCTAGAATCCTTTATTTCTGTTTCATATGTGCGTTGTGTTACATTAGCTGTCTTGGCACGGTACAGATAGGGCAAGCTGTGGTTTTAAATGACTAGCTCAGCGATCAGAACTGGTAGATGGAACAGCAGGCTTTCCAAAATTTGTACAAACAACAGGGCTCTGAGATCTTTGTATACACGACAGTAATATTCTTGCTAAGATAAATTTATCAGCCCTTTACAAAAAGATACAATTTGTCTTAAGTCTTGTGTGAGCTGCTTTCATCTGTTTGAGATGTACTTAATAAAAGGTATGCATTTGGTACCACTGTGAGAATGTTAACACAACTTATTTTCCCTTCTGCTGCTGCTGCTGACCTATTGGTCTTTCCACTCTAGCTTTCCTTTCTGCCTCAGAAAGGTGGGAGGCACAGCTGAGCTGGGCAGCCACACAAGGAGACAAAATGCTGGGGATAAGCTTCCAGCTGTTAAGTCCAGGCATCCTGCAAAAGACAAATTTGGTGTGATCCACTCCAACACAGAGGTTTACATTTCTGCTCAAAACAGAAATGGAATTTATAACACAACATGCACTGAACTACAGCTAGCTCCATAAAACCACCCCAGATCCAGAATGCTGGTGGAGCATTCATGCTTTTCAAGATCATGAAATTATGTATCGCCTTCTGGAGTCACTGGTTGTTTTATCTGAGAAATCACTTTGTCCACTGTTGTCCTGGCCATGACTTAAAGGGCTGATCTTCAGGCACATTACTATAGTGCAGCAGCTTCTCTAAAAGCGTGAGATCATTTTTACAGTCATTGGCCAGATGTGCAGTACTTATCAGACACAGCGAGCTGCTCTCTATCCAAGAGTGAGTTTTATATTTAAATGTCTTAAGAAGCCCAAACTTTGCAGATCACTGTTGCAATCCATGCAAAGAAAACTGAGGGAATATTCATCTACTACACAACGATGGCCTTAAGGCAATCTCTGAGCAGTTCAGCTTCACAAGTAGGAACACTTCAGTTAGTAAGTGCTTTCCCGAGGGAATGACAATTCTGGACGTTCCTGTGTTTAGATTTGTCAGTAATTTTATTTTCTTTAAAAAAAAAAATCAGCATTTAAAAATAAGTGAAATTAGAGATTTCCCCTTGTGCACTGCCGTACGATTTCAGCTCCCCATAACCTCTTAGAGAAGTCTCCTGCCTGATCTGAAGGGAGGGTTGTGCTATGTGTACTGATCCTGGCTCTACCAGCTGCTACACAGTAGCCACAGTCCTATGCTTGGTCTTTGCTGCTTCACTTCAAAGCAACAACTCCCGCAGCCCAAATACATGTGATGTGCTGCGGAACCAACATACCTTATTCCCCCATAGAGTAAACCATTCTGAAACAGAGAGATACACCTGTTAGAGGCTGAAGAATTAGGAAGCTAGTGGGTAGGTTACAAAAGCCCTGAGCAGGCAGACGTGGAGATAGGCGGGGATTTTTTTTCTTTTAAACGTCAAGCAGTAAATACAGTTGTACTATCACTTTTCAAGAAGTAATACAAGAATGGGTGTTGGAGTGGAATAATAGAAAAAGGGAGGGGAGAAGAGGCAGAGACACTTTAAGAATTAAGCCACTATTAAACAAAAATGTGATTTTTTAAATGGAACACTGATATCAAAACTATAACGTCATCAACTAAAGCTAGACATTAATCCCCCCTGACTTCACCATTACCCATTCCACACACACTCAAACTCCTAGGTGCTCAGACCAACAGTCTCTCTATAGCTTGCTGTACAGACTGGATCTGAGGCTTTAGCTGCGATCCCTCCTTGATAGTGATGGAGCAGGCGATGACAGGCCGGGAAACCCCACACGCCCGGCCCAAGGCCTGCTTGGAGCGCACGAACACATAAGGAACGTTCTTGTCCTCGCAGAGAAGAGGGAGGTGCAGGATGATCTCCAAGGGTTCAGCATCGGCAGCCATCACAATGAACTCTGCTATTCCTCGGTTCAGTGTTTTGGTGGCTGTAAAAAGAAACTAAAATTAAGTCTAGGTTCCGTGAAACACACTGCGTGAACAACGTTAAGAGATGCTGAAGTCAGCATGAGCAAGAAGGCAGGCCAAAGAAAACTGTTAGCTACAGGGCCATGTAATAGCACAGCTCCGAGTCCAGAATGAACAATTTGCAGTCAGTAGCGCACCCATGAGAGGAAGAAGGCTGACCCTTGAGTGCCAACAGCAGGTCCCAAGGAGGGACTATTCAGAGGGTCACATCTAGGCTACTGCACCCAGCTCCACACCTTGAGAGATTCACAAAGGAGTGAGGCCAGCACAGGGCTAGCAGCTGGAGCACTCCGCAGATGAGACCAAGGGAGCTGGATCTGTGCAGACTGGAGAAGAACCAGCCAAGGTGGGTATGGAGGAGAATAACCGCTGCCTTGTGCCACTCCAAGGAGACTGCAGAAAGGACGGAGCCAGGCTATCTCCATGAGCACACAGTATAAAGGACAAGTCACAGACTGTGACTGTTGCCTTGAGGAAATTCTGGGGACATGAGGGGAAAAAAATTCTGGCACGAAAGCAGTTTAAGCCACAGGAGACACTGTGGAATTTCCATGCTTAAGGATTTATTTTTTTCCTCAAATAAAGCTTAACCAGTAAAAAAAAAGCCCTGAAAAAAGCCCTGAGTAGCCTTGATCCAGCTGTGAAAGGTGCCATTCTCTGACTGCGCTACAGAGCTCCCCTCAAACCCCAGTTATCTTATGATTTTAAGCTGGCAAGGCACCTGGTCATCCCAGTGCCGCATCACAAATGATCACAGCACATGCACCAGGAACACACTCCAAGCAGCTAGGAGGAGGAAAGAGAGGGACACTCGTGACAGCCAGAGCTATGAAAAATAATATTCACAGCTCACAGCTGGAGAAAAAACTATAATCTCCAGCCACAGCTTCCCACAGCATTCCCAGCACGCCTTGCTTGTCCCACCTTCATTGGCTCCTTTGCGTAGCTGCTTGTAGTTGCAGGACTGTTGCACGAGGTCCAGCAGCGTTTTGGTGAGCTGCGCGTCAGCCAGTGGATAAGCTTTGGGGTTCACCTCTGCCTCACTCTAGAAACAGGAGAAAGGAAAAGATGGGAGAGCAGTACATCAGGGGAAAAGAAGTTTGTTCCGAGGGACATTAGAGACGCAGCAAGTCCACCACGTGTAGTGCATCACATATGGTTGAAAAAGAGCTTCAGGATCACCCAGTCCAACCTTCAGCCCACCCCCTCCATGCCCAATGACCACGTCCCTCAGTGCCACATCCACACGGTTCTGGAACACCTCCCAGGTCGGTGATCCCACCACCTCCCTGGGCAGCCTGTGCCACCGCAGCACCGCTCCTTCTGAAAAATGTTTCCTGATACCCAACCCGAATGTCCCCTGGCGCAACTTGAGGCAATCACCTCTCATCCTACAGCTACTACCCAGAAGAGGAGGCTGCCCGCACGTCGCCACAACCTCTTTCAGGCACCTACGCATACGTATACCACGTATATCAGCCCACAACTCGACACTGGATGCCCCTCGGCGCAGCCCCACGCAGCGCGGCCCCCACGTGCTCCCCGCCCGCCCGTCCGCCCGCCTCCTGCCTGGGCATGGAAGCGGACCCTTCCCCGGACATCCCGCATCTCCCCCGGCCGCGCTCACCATGGCGGCGGCGGCGGCGGCGCGGTGCAGCTCCCAGCGCAGCGCGAGAACACCCGGGGCCCAAGGCTCCTGCGCGCAGCGGGCCACACGCCGCCGGAACTGAGGGCACGGCGGAGGGAAGAGGCGGGCCGGGCTTCGTCGAGGGCCCTGCCCACCGCGCGCCCTAGCGGCCGTGGGGCGATGTCGGCGGGGTGCGAGCGGCTGCGCGAGCGACACGGCGCGCGGTGGACCCTGCCGTTCCGGCCGCCGCTTTGCCTCGCGTGCGCCGTGGAGACCTTGGGCGATGGCGGAGCCTCGGTGGGGCTTCCCCTTCCGTCAAAGCCTCGGTACCCCCAGCAGCCCGCTCCCGCCTTGAGGCAGGGACTCGGAGCACGCGGGGTGACGCTTTTTCTGCCGCCATAAGCGTTGGGGCGGGCCTGGCGCTAACGGTTGTCTTCCACCCGCAGCTGGTGCGGAAGAAGCACGCGCTGTCCCGTTTGCGCGATGCCCTGGCGTGGCAGGCGCTGCCGGTCGTCCAGCTGCTGGCTCCAGACGAGAGGGGCTGCCTCTGTCTGATAGGAACGCTCTTCGGTAAGAGCTCCCACGCGGCCTAACGCAGCACCCTTTGCGTAGGCTTGGGTTGGAAGGGACCTCAAATCCCAGCCCGGCTCAGGCTGCCCAGGGCCCTATCCAACCTATCGTTGAATCTCCAGGGATGGGGCACCCACAGCTCTCTGGGCAGCTGTGCTGGCCCATCTCTGCCTTCTGAGTGACAATTTTACCTGATGTTTAGTCTAAATTTCTCCTCTTTTAATTGAAAGCTGTTCCACCTTGTCTTACAGCTATCTACCCATGTGAAAAATCAGTGCCCCGTCTGCTTGTAAGCTTCTTCGAAGTACTGGAAGGCCGCAATGAGGTCTCCCTGCAGCCTTCTCCATACTGAAGAAGCCCATCTCCCTCAGCCTGTCTTCATAGGAAAGGTGCTCCAGCCCTCTGTGCATCTTTATGACCTCCTCTGGCCCCACTCCAACAGCCCCACATCTTTCTTATGCTGAGGTGCCAGGTGTAGATGTGATACTCCAAGTGGGGCCTTACAAAGGCAGAGCAGAGGGGGACAATCACCTCATTCATCCTGCTGGCCACCCTTCTTTTGGTGCAGCCCAGGATACTGTTGGCCTTAGGAGCACGCTGCTGGTTCATGTCCAGCTTTTCATCTATCAGGATTCCCAGGCCCTTCTCCGCAGAGCTGCTCTCAATGAGTTATTCTCCCAATCTGTAAACGTATCTGGGATTTCTCTGATGCAGGCTTCTCCACATTCAACTCCCCCCCCAAAATGGCAGTAGACCACTGAAATACCCAATTCCATACTTCCGCCAATGTTCTCCTTTACATGTTGCTATTCCCCATGGAAAAGGGTCTGTCATTGCAAATAGAATAGGGCAATTAATTTCCCTCTTCCCCAGGGAGCAGACCTGGCATGATAATAAAGCTCCCACAGCTTTCCTAAGCATCTTGACAGATCTTTAAAGTCTTTACAGGGAAGTGAGTGCTCTGGCTTATGACTCTTCCCAGAACACCCTCTGTTCTGGTCTCATGCCTCAGTGCTTTCTCATCTTGTGGCACTACATGAAGATCCACACAGAAATGGAAGCGTGAACTTAAAAAGGGTGTTACAGAAGTTAGTATCAAATGGTACAGTATTTCTTTCCCCCACTGTCATTTTATATTTGTTGAAATCCCTCTAGCTGTAGGATTACAACACCTGTTTCTTCCTGGTGGGTCAGCCTCCCAGCAGAACACAGCGTTCAGAGAGATGCCAGAAAGTGGCTTCAGTCCCTTAGATCTCGAACATCTCTCACTGTTTCTGTTTGCACAGCAGTGCTGTGGGCAAGGTCTTTGAAATATCTAAAATCCTGTCAGAGGAGAAATGATAGTGTAAATGAGGGAACGGTCAGACAGGAAGAGAAAGGTGGAGGGTATGAATGCAAATGCTTTCAAAGAGCAATTATACTGTGTTCCTTGAAGTCCACAGTCTCATTTGCACATCACAGATATGTGCTTTGTGCGAGGTGACTTACAAGCCCCTTCCCTTGCCACAACACTGAATAATTCAAGCTGCGTTTCCCAGCTGGTTTCCCAGCACAAACTGTGCTTTGCGCATTGGAAACAGCTTTATTAGAATGTTGTGCAGGTTTCATTCTCTCGGTCACACAAATTTTTATTGAGCACTGTCTGCACGCAGTCCTGTACAGATGTGGAGGGAGTAGTGCTTACGGCCAGTTCACTCCTACACTGTAGGATCCTAAACCGAATACCCCAGAAGACAGAGGTGTACTTGCATTTCAGTGCTCTGTTTTTAAATAATCAGTCTGTGTGCCTCTCTGGAAAGGTACACAGTTAAATTTTCAGGGGACAGCTTTGCTGTAATTGATTGGCATTTTCAGTACTGTAGAGGGAGAAAACTTGGTGAGTAAGAATAAGGGTAAAATAAGAAGGACATCTCATAGCTGGGCTTTGATTCCTGTCATTCTGTAGTGTTGTAATTCAGATGTATGATGATGGACCATGCAATGGTGTTTGCAGTTTCATGTTTACCTACATAGGTGGAGCCACTGACTTCAACTACAAAGCACATAAAAAATTCTGAGAGAACAGTACACCTCATGCCCCTTTTTCCTGGTTATGAGGGCACCTTTTGCAGAATTCACCCTCTTCTGACAGTCAGATTGGCCTCCTGTGAAGCAGGGGGAAACTGGTCCTGAAATAATGTGCAGCTATTTTTACAAGAAGGCTTTACAGCACCAATGATCACAGGCAAAAATGAGTTCTGCAATTGATTGTGCTTTATCTTTCAGGGATGTGTCATGCAGTAGAAGACAGCGATGCGCAGGACCAGTTTGGAGAAGGTGAGGTGCAGGTGCTGTGTGCCAGTCAGTGGCAGTCTGTGAGAGGCATCCATCTTGTCTGATAGCTCAGCTTCAGCACAGCTTGAATTGAGGAGAGCTTCTATTTTCTATCAGTTGCAAAAGTGATAAGCAGACCATTCCAGTATTTTGTGGTGCATCCATGTGAAGTGTGTGTGCATTTAAACGTTAGCATTTCTCCCTCGGGTTCTGTGTGTGCCATCAGAAGGGTAGCACTTGTAAATAAAGCCCCATCTTTGAACCTGACCAAATGGAAATCTTCACATTGGCTTCACTGAGCTTTGGAACCTAGTGCTTTCTCCTCAGGACAAGCAGTATTTGGGACGTAGCTGTACAGCTTCTAGATTCCTCTCTCTTAGCAGTCCTTCATTTGTAATCTGGAAACGCCTGCAGGGCTGAGAAGAGATGTCTGCAGTCCTATTAACCTTGGGCATCTCTGCTGAGTCTTGTGATATTCACAGAGCAGCGATTTCCTCCTGTCCAGCCATGAGAGATGAAAGGAGATGTAACCAGCTCCTTTCAGGGAGGTATCAGTTTTCAGACATGTGCTTGAAAAGTGTTGCAAAGGTGAGAGATCCTTCTGTCAGGATGTGGTTCTGCTGAGAGATGGATAATTTCAAACAGAGGAATTTTAACTTGATACCTAATTATTGAATGTTCTTAGAAATAGAACAGTTCTTAGGAATTCTGAGAGTTCCAGGCAGGAAAGGGCCATTAAAGCACCTATATATCATCTGCCTCAAGATATGCCTCTGCTCAGAAAGTTGGCCCTTCATCTAAAGTAGGTCTCCTAGATAAACTCACAGTATTGCCCTGGATATACCAAGAAGTGGTACATCTAGAAGTCTCTGTGTTTTTTTTTGTTTGTTTGTTTTGTTTTTTTTTTAAATGCTTTCTTAGAATAAGAGTAAAAAGAATGTATTAGAGTACTGTGTGCCGTGTTTGAAATGAGTCATGCCATGACAAGAAGATATAGCCAAACTAGCTTTATGAAATCGTATGGAGTGATATTCTGTACTGTGCCTCAGTTAAGAGTCACAAAGATAAGTAGGGCCTCAATTTATGGAAAGGTGTAGGGGATACCTACATGTGTATGACTGGTAGATTGTAATGTTACCTTCTCTGAAAGGCTGTTTTTAAAGGCCAGTTTTCATACTTTAGGATGCCTGCTCTGTTCAAGTATCAGATTTTTTCATGGTTTCAAACTTGGGCTTTGTTTCCTTCCTTCCTTATATTTACTTGATGTCCTGATAGACCCTTTATCATTTCTATGCATGGGTTGTGGTGCTGCTAGAACAGGATTGCTGCTGTAATGTTGCTGCAGAGAGCCTCAGCTGGGCTATCAGAACTAATAGCACTGGGGCTTTGCTGTTACCCTGCACTCTCAGCAGCCCCACGTTCATTTAATGGCTAAGCTCTTTGCTCACTGGCCTGCTAAAGCCCTGTGGAGGATGGATTGTGAGTGCTCTTCAATGTGAATTACTGATCCCATTTCTTCTGCCTAGTTCTTGTGCAGCTTATAGTGGAGCTGAAGTCAGAGGAGTACTTGCGCTGCATTCTGGATGAAAGCCAAAAAGAGGTCAGTGAAGATGAATTCTCTGCCCTTCCCTTCAGTTCTTCAGAAGTTGAAGAGATGAAAATGAGAGGCCCTGCGAGACTGCGGCTACTGCTTTGGGATGCAGCTTCTATTGTAGTGGGATGTCCTAATGCCAGTTCCCCTGCTGTGATTTTGGCATTGGTGTCTTCTCTGGAGTTTTCCTATTGCTCTCATGGCACGCTGTAGCTATATGGCTTCATAATGCTTTAATGGAACTGTGTGCCTTCCTCAGATTCTTCTTTTCTTCCTTTCCTGCGTCAGTGAAATGAGGAGCTTTCACAGCACTCTGCTGTCTTCATTCCTAAGTTTGTGGTGGTCCTGTGGGGTGCAAAAAATTGAGAAATAGCAAAAGCAGGGAGAAATTCAGCTGGTTCGTCTGCTCTTATAGGAGCTGGAGGAGAAAAGGGCAACAAGAAAGAGATTTCTTGGATAAATTAAAGAAACACTGTTGTATTTTGGGGATTTTAGGTATGTTCAGAGTTTTCCTCTGATTTATCCTAAATGATGAAAAGGACCTGGTTTAGGTGAAGATCCTATTTTGGAGAGAGCATATTGGTTTTTGTGTCTTTCTAACAGTGTACTGTGTGAAACATTTCCTTCCTCTGTCTCCTCTACAGCTGTGCAAAGCAACTACCAGGAGAGGCAGCCTGCCCACATTCAGTCTCTTGGGCAAGCTAGCAGATGCTGTCCCAGGCTTTGCTGACATACTGGTGGTGGAGCACAGTGAGTAGCCTTCACGCTCCACTGAAGGGTTGTAGTCACAGCTCTAACATACATAAGCATGCACGCACTGTCTTTCCCCTCCGGTGTGCGTTTACAAAGGTTGCACAAGAATCTTGTCCCTGAAGATGAAGTGGCACGCAGACCTCCTGGGTTGCTGGTCAGTACCTCAGTAGTAGGCTTGGTGTTGTGCTCTTAGCCATCCTGACAAAAACAGCCTCTGAGAATTGTGTTTGTAGGCATGCCTTGTGAGCAATACGTGCTTTGTTTTCCTCTCCTTGGTTCAGCTTCTGGGGTCTGGTGAGCATACTTAGCTCTTTGTAGAGGTGGTGGTGGTGGAAATGCATATGGTGAACAGTTTTCTCCTTGTGCCATTTTTTACTGTACCTCTGCTCAGAGACTCTTAGAAGCATTCCCAATGTTCATGAATGTTTGACTGGATCAGAGGGAGAAACACTGGTGAGGTAGCACAACATCCATTGGTATTTGTTAATCTATGTACACCAGCCTGTGCAGTGGGCTTGTGCAAGTTGTACTGGTTTTGACTGAGAGACGAGATAGTGAGTGGCTGTGTGGTGCTTGGCTGCCTACTGGATTTAAATCACAGCACAGGTTTTTGAGGGAAATAGGCTGATGCTTTAAAAAAGTCAGCTTACAAGTCAGCTCATGGGTATGAATGTTTGCCATTTCTGTTCCTCACACTAGGTAATTTAGTGGATCATCTGCTGGTGGGCTTGATGTACCCAAATGAAGGTGTAAAGGCTGCTGTCTGTTACTTGTATGGCAAGCTGTACTCCTCTCCTGTTGGCACAGAAAAGCTCTCAGCACACTTTGAAGAAAGGCTGTGTGGCCTCTTCTTGAATACTTTTGGCCATGCGCAGACAAAGGAGCTGCAGGTTAATTGCTTGGGTAAGGCACTACTGAGAGAAACTGCAAAGTGCAAGGGAAGGTTTAAAGCAAAGCAGAAATCCTTGGATGGTTTAAGATACCCTGATATAGGTCGGGCTTTAGAGGAGCTGTATTTATGCTCATTTGAACCAATTGATCCTTTCTGTTACTAGACAGCAGTGAAGTAACCCAGACCTGCTGTTGTGCTCCCCCAGCCTCTGTTGTCCCTAAAGCCTATGGTTGCCTAGCACTGATTAATCTTCAAAGTTTCCTCAGGGTTTGCCCTGTGATTTGACTTGTCTGAATATGATGCTATCAGACTCAAACTGCCTGAATGCAAGCACACTGCACAGACAGGTGGGTTTTGTATGGAACCAGAACAGAATAACATTTGGAAGGGTCAGTTTTGTGCATTTATTCTTCATATTGCGCTTACCAGCTGTTGGTAGAGAGCACAATTTCAGCCTTCCTGGCACTGTTTGGTTGCAAACAATCCAAGGATTTCCTTTTCCTTGTAGGATGCAAGCAGGAATTGGCTTGCTCCTCAGATCTACTCAGCTGCTAGGAAAGGATGATGATTTCTTTGAAAATTGATCTCACGCCTTATCCCTTGTGAATTTGTGCCGATGTGTGCAGATGATTTGCACCAGTATCTGTAGCAGTGCTCTATGCTCTTATACTGAAGGGTTTTGTTTGTTTGTTTTTGTATGCGTGGATGTCCTTTAACGAAATGCAGCCATTTCAGCAAGAGCCTATGAAAGCAGGAAGGGAAGATAAATGCCACGGCTCTAGGAAGTATTCCAAGGAAAATATCTAGTTAACTGTTTGGTCCTTGGCTTTAGCATGGTGAAAAATGCAAATTAAGAGCTCTCTAAAGAAACAATTTAAGGGGAAAGTGCTGGAGCACAGAAGACAAGTAGAAGGCTCAAGGGGTCATTTACTACTGCACATACAGATCTCTCAGGAATGGGGAGCAATCAGACCTGGCAAAAAGAACCAGTGACAAGGGGTTGCCAGATGCATAGCTCATGGCACTTTCTGTTTATGTAAGTCAGAAGAAGCTTGCTCTACTTGAAGTTAGGGTCTTTGCTCAGAGGGCTGGAAAGAGAAGGAAACTGACAAGTCTTTGGCTGTAAGTACTTCTGAATTAATCCCATGTCCATTTTGTGATGCTCACTTTTGCTCCCCTTTTTGCAGGTTTGCTGAAGGAGCTGCTGAAATCTGACCGTTTTGTATCCATTCTTATGAATAATTCAAAACCAGAAGAAGAATCTGAAAACTCTGATTTGTTAGGAGGGGAAAATCCACTTCCACTCATTCTCAAAAAGGTGATTGGTGAAGTAGTCTTACAGCATGCAACCTATGACTTTTTAACACATTGTCCCTTGTTCTGAGGTGAGCTGTTAGTAGATGTAGGAGTTTGATAGCCTGTATTGAATTTTTATTTGAGGCTTTTGGGTGCTGTCACCCCAACACTGACCAGCAATAGAGACTGCAGTGGAAAATCTGGGCACTACCATAGGTCTCCTTATTGTTCATTCCCGTATCCTAGAGTTTTCCTTGTGGCCTCAGCTGGTTTTACTCACTGACGCTTAAGTTCTGATACAGCTCTGGCAGTGCTAACATGACTAAATATTGAGGTGGAGCTATTCCTATTCATAATACTATTTATTGTGGTTCTCACACTGTATTTTTGAGTGCGTTTAATCCAGTATTTTATCTTGCATTGCCAAGTTTAACCAATGAAATGTGTGTTAAAAGAGAGACCTTCATTTATGTTTGAACTTTTTAAATTTAGAGGAGACTGTTACTCCTCATACCTGCACAGTTGACTTCCTCTCTCCTTTTTGCTTTTGTTTCACGACAGCTTTTGTTGACCAGAGATGAGATGTTACAGGCAGCAAGCTCTCACTGTATGGCTGCAGTGCTGGTTCACTCTCCCAGCAGATATGCTCCTGCCTTTATCCATGCTGATGTCCCAGGTGAAGAAGTGCAATAACATTGTATTGTCCATCTCCCTGGCTTTTTGTTCTAAGAATCAGTCTGGCTCCATGCAATCCCCGGATGACATAATCTATGCAATGACCTTTTAGTATCAGTAGAAACGTCTAATGTGATTTTAGAAACAGTAGTGAAAAATGAGTTTTCAATTGAAAGTATAGAAGTAGTTGTCAACGGGCAAAATGGGATTTCCTCAGCAAGAATTTGGTCGAGGAACCTCTTGAAGCATAGGTGCAAAGTCTAACCTGGCTGGGTTTCCATCTTATCTTACTAAATATTGTGAATTTTCATAGAATTTGATCTGGTAGATCTGGCTTTGGAATATAGCTTTAGGAGATGGTTTGTTGTTCACTCTATTCCCAAAAGACAGAAGTGCTTTGATTTTGCAAATTCTTTGTGAGATGTGAAAGTACTTAGGAAAAAAAAGATCACCGCATCTGTGCTAAAGCTTGCTTTGTGACTTCATTTACGCCAGAGGCTAGAGCCACAATTCAGCTCCTGCCTGTTAAGTTCGTGCTGGGAAGAAGCCTGCCTGGGGGACTCTGCTCTCCAATCACCGTGGTTTGAAGGCTAGCATGCCTCTGAGTATTCACTCCATCCTCCATTCCTTCCATTTCATAATACATCCATTCTCCCTCTGGCTGTCAGTATGATTCCTGCTTTCTTCCTCCTTCCTCTGCTCTGTTCTACGAGCAGCTTTGCCACGCTGTGAGCCTCTTACCGGGGCGACCTTATTTGTATGTGTGTTTTCACAGAATTCCTTTTTGAGTGCCTCATGTGCAACAGTGAAATTCTCATCTGGTCAGTGTATTGCTCGCTGCTTCTCCTCACCGAAGAGCGCCTTTTCTTCTCCAAGTGTCACACAGTGTATGGTGAGTCATCGGCCTTTCTGACAGTGACCGCCAGTAATATTGCTGGCATTTGTTGTGCCTCTAGCTGAATTTCAGTGCTTTACACACCATCACAGTGTCTAGTCAGGATGGATAAAGGACTGAAAATGAGTACCTATCGGATGCGTTTGTGATGTCTACCGCGGCTTGAATTTACAGTGTCGCTGTCCTAATGAGTTTCTGATGAGCATGCATCCACTGTAATAACCAGTTGTCGTGACTGTTACTATAACCTGACTGCTAGTAATAGCCAGTTATCAGGAGTTACTGCTAGGTATCTCTGTGGAGGTGTCAAAGGTGGTTTTAGGAAGAAAGGCCAAATTACTTCTGTTTTCTGGACTTCCCTTCAGCAGTGGGAGCTGATGCCTGTTATCAGGGAGCTGAGCGAAAATGATGGCTTGGGCAGTTGTTTCAGACAGTGGCTCAGAAGAATGATTGTTCAAATCTTCCTTCCTTTCAAATATTTGTTTTTCTCCCATCCTGGAATTTGGGGGGTTGGGGGAGGGGGTTAAAATCCTCCTCTGTAACTTCTCTTGAATATTGCAGGCATAGAATCTCTGGTGAGAAGTCTCCAGGATGTCCTGCAGTTGAACAATATGGAGTTACACAAGCAAGGGCTCCTGCTCTTCACTGAAATAGTGAAACGGTAAGGGATTGCCCCTGTCAGGCTCACAGATGCAGAATTTGATGCCTTAAAATGGAAACTGTTGTGTTTTTGAGTTCTTTTTCCTAGGCCAAATATCTGCACTTCTTGAGCCCTTGTGTTTAGTCCTGTGAAGAAGGGCCTGATAGCTGTTTCCAAATCTCCCAGCTTGCCTTCTTTGTGCACATTTCCACCAATACATCTGCCTCTCCCTGCTTCCTTGGCAGTCTGGGGAGTGAATTCTCCTTTCATCTGTAGGCATAAAAGGAGGCAAAGCCTAGGAAAGTCCAGGTATATGTGAGCCAGCTGGCTCCTGCTAAGTGACAAAACAGAGCATGTACATTCCATGGCTTCTAGTCCTCTGTCTTCATCTGAGCTAAATTCAAACAGCAAAAACAAATTCCAGGCCGAACTATTAATGCGTTCTGTCAGTTTCTCCCCTTGTTTTCTGCTAAGGAATAACATACTCTGGCTTGTTTTTCTTCTCTGCTTCCTGTTCCTGCCTGTATGATCTTGTTCATGTCGTGTTGTGCTAGTGACAGAATCTTGTTTTTGCCACTTAGGTCCCCCAAGAGAGCCCTAGAGCTGAATTTTGGAAATGTCAGTCAATTTTTGTAGCAAGTGCTAGGGTAAAAAGGAGAAAGAACAGTGTGATGAGGCCGGTGTGGGATCTGTCAGAAAGAGAAACCAAAATGTGGGAAACACTAATTACAGCATTTACACTTGTAAAACAAAGAGAATGTTCTATGCAATTACTCTCATTTTCTAGCACACACGTCCTGTTTCTCAGAGGCTTACATTTAAAATGCCATTTTATTTTAAACTGTATCATATGGAGAAAATGGTCTCATGCTGGAACATCTCTTGGTTTTCCTTGCAGCTGGGTTCTCTTACTCTGTAATTGACCCCCACGCTCTGATGTTATCCAGACAAGATGTACTGCCTCTGTTGGCACTGTCAAAAGTGTCAGGAATGGTGGGTAGCTCTCTGTGGAGTGCTTTTCTCTCCCAGCACAGCCAGAGTGGCGCGCAGAGTTTGGGATCCAAGGACATGGGGCTGCAGGAAGGTGCAGGAGTTCTGTATTTAATGCATTTGTTTCCCTGGCCCTGCAGACATCACAGTACACCATATTGCAAGTGGGTTTGTGCCTCTTGGGTGAGTCAGCAGTACTCCTCCATCCCTTCTTCTCTGCATGAGTCAGTGAAGACTTTTTTTCCTGATGTGTTTTACTTCAAAGGGTCAGTGATTAAAGGAAGGAAATAGAAGGGATTAATAAAAATAGAGTGTAAGTAGAAACAACTTGAAGTTCAGCACATATGGCTTGGGCCAGAGGCTGGTCCTGGTGCCTGCGTTCCCTGGCCTTATCCCTGCCTTGCCCACCTCTCTGCCCTTTCTTGCAGCAGAATGTGAAGTGACTGCCAAGCTGGATTTGCTCCCACTGTGTGGCTGAAGAGTGGCTCTGCCTCTGTTCACTTTTTGCCCTGCAGCTGAGCTGCTAATTTAATTTCTACTGCAGTTGATTCTTCTCTCCCATTTGTGCATGGGAGCACGTGCTCCTGGCTTGCCTTAGTCTTGTCATGTCTATGAAAATGGAGTAATGGGGAATACTCTGGCTTCCAAGCCTGGCTGCTATCATGCTCTGCTTCTTTTCTTGCTTTGCTTTTGGAGATACTTTCTGGCAGACCATTAATGCCTCTTTTCCACATGTAGCTGCTTACCTTCTCCTCTCTTTCACAAGCGTACCTGACTTTCCAGGAGTCAGATGAGTCATTTGTACATCTCTGCCCAGTAATGGGATTAATGGCTTGTCATCCCTCCGTGCTCTCATGCTGAGTGCTCAAAGTCATTGGGTCACAAAGTGATCAGATGACCAAAATGGTCACTATCAAGAAAAAATGTCAAAACAATTGAATTATGGTTGTTTCTGTTTTTTCCTGTTTACTTCTCAAGTTCTTGAAAGTCCCTGTGCCAGCAGCATCCAGCAGTAGAATCACTGCAGGACTGTTAGAGAGAAGCTATTCTCTTGGCATTGTCCTTCTTCTAGTATGGTAGTGTTTGCTTGCTTACTCAGAAATATGAATTGCTAGATGAACCTACAAATGCCAGAGCAGATGGCCTCAGCATAAAGTCCTATACAGGGACTGTGTTTTGCAGAGCCTCTTTTTTCATGTGTTTTTCATGTCGCTATGTGCAGGCACAGTACAAAGTCATCCAGACTGTAGGTTCTTTTCATCATGGTAGGACTCCAGACCTGCTGAAGTTCACTCTTTGTAGCAAACCCTCCACCTACTCAAGTTTGAGACTGCATCCTTGTGAGCAGCTGGCTCTGAATACTAAAAATCATGGCTGGAGCCACATGGCTCTTCACTCCGTTTGGTCAAATAAGGAGAGGACAATACAGTTACTTAACCTGACAATATTCTCCTTGCTTACTCTGTTTTCTCTTTGCAGGCAACCGGTGGAGATTAAATTATTCACGAACCGAGGTATATGTATAGATGCCATTGATGTTTTGATGAAGACAGTGGACTGCCCAGTGCTGGAGGTGGTAGTGGAGGCTGTGAAAGCTGTGGCAGCTTTTCTGAGGTAGGCAGGAAAGTATTTACAGGCTTTTCTTCAGATAGATCTGAAGAAATGTTGGTCTCTGCAGCTCCCCTGTGTCTGTGTGGGTGAGTGTGCTCTGCAGTGGGAATTCTGGCTGAGATAGGCATGGGTACAGCAGAGCTGGCTTCCCACCTACCTGCCAGGACTGCCAGGGTGATGAAGCTGTGGTAGGCAGCAAGCTGCTGCAGCAAGGACCTAGCATCTCCATCAGGCTTGTTCTGCAGCTGCTATGACTTTAGCACACTGTGCCCCTTCCAGACAGAGAAGAGCAAGTATTAGACCGTGCACAGTTATACTGTGCTTGATTGTAGTGGGAATCTGTGATGCTGAATGCAGTGAGGGTGTGTTTGGATTCATGTCTGAGAAGGCACTATTCAGACCTCCTGACTTTTGTGTGCTGTACTGGAGAGAGATGGCAGTGGCATATTGCTTTCCAAAGAGGAGTTAATTCTGCTGGTGTTGCCTTCCCATGCAGAATGTCCCCAGCTGAGAACATGTTCACTGTCTTTCTTTCTGCTTGTCCAGGAAGGATCATCTGAACTCCCCTCCAGTCCCATATGAAAATCTACAGAAACTACTGGAGGCAGTGCTGAAGCGATGTGTCGACCTTTCCCCACCACACAGTAGCAACAAGCATGAAGTAAGTCAAGAGATACTGTGCACTTTGGTAGTACCAAGCAGGACAGGGACGATCCTCCTAGAACAGCATGTGGAAGTTGCATGTTTTTTCCATCTCCTTACTGTGACTCTTGTAGTCTCTGGTGTTTCTTTTGATCCTCATGGCTTGAGATGGTAACAATCTTTATCTATGAAGATGGATGCTGGTGAGTGCTTTTTCTAAATCAGTGAAAAGATGTGGGGCACCATTTTAGTATACTGCTCTCTTTATATGTTCAGTGCTGCAAGGTAATTTGAACCTCCCCTTCTTTAGGCCCCCGCCTTGTAGGCTGTGTTAGTCAATCTATTTTTTGGCAATGAACATCTCTTACCGTGCCTTCAGACCAAGACAGTCACGTTGTATGCACAGTGATTCCTCAGTGAGGGAATTGGTAGCTGCTACTTGAACTGCAAATTCTTTACTGTTCCTGGAATATGCAGTTAATGTGATGTGCTGCTGGGACCTGTGCATCTGTCAGGAGAGCTCTCATAACTGATGGCCAGTGACATGACAAGGGCTGAATCTTCTTGCTCTGTGCTCAGGGCCACTTAAGTTTAGATTGCATGTCTGAAGTGGCAAGAACATCTTGTGGGGGTACCAGAACTCCAAATGCTTGTTGAATTGTCCTTAGGTCCAAATTGTTTCTTATCTAATGCCTGTCTTCTCTGCCTGGAGAAAACAGGAGAGCTTTCTGCCCCATTGGTAGATGTTGGTCAGTCTGTTTGTGCACACAGAGCTCTGTGTCCCATTCAGGATAAAAAGCTTTACAGAAAGAAAATTAAGCAAGGCAGTAACGACATCCAGTCTGTGTTTAGTGAGTGTAAAAGGGAAATGATTGTAGCTGTGATTAGGTGTTACAGTATCAGATGGGAACTATAAGGAGTTCTGAACTGTCAGGCTCCAATGCATTGCTGTGTTCTCCTCTGGTAGTATTTAGAGAAGACCACCACAGCTTGTTAAGGTTTAGAGGCAGATTTTGAGTTCCAAGTGGTTTGTTTGCAGTTTGGGCAGATGACAAATTCTAACCTGGAACTTGGCTTCTGGCTGAACTCAGTAGGACACGCTGTGTTAGAACAAAGGCCAGTATGTGCATAATTTTTTACAAGTCTGAGCCTAAGTAGTGATTTCTGAGCAGGGAGTAGAACTGTTCAGTGTTGTGTGAAGAGTAAATGGAAGGAACAAAATTAAAAAAAAGACAACGCCCAAGTTTTCCCAGAAGGGTTTGAAGCTGAGTGGCTTAAAACTCAGATTAGACCGAACCATGGCAATACAGGCTATACTGCCCAAGGGATAGAACTGGTGGATTTATAATTCTGTTTTCCATAGAAAGAGCTGTGTAAATCTTTTAACTCTGCCTTCCCTAGGGAGAGCGCAATAATAAAAAAACATCCATGCAAAAGGAGTGATTGCAGTATGTTGTTCCTCCTACTGCTGGTATCAAAGAGGAAATCAGTTTTTCTTTATTCTGACAACAGTGAATACAACATTTTGAAGACTTCTGTCCTTTAGCAGGGTGATCTCCTGTTATCGATGTCCCAGAGCAGAGTTTCTTGGAAATATGGACAGCTATTATTCAACACTCTGGAAAGTTTCAGAAATGCTTGCAGGTGAGGACAAGGAAGGAATAAGGATGGGTATTATGTGCATGTCTATCCATCTATCCTTGTGACGGAGTTCCTTTATCAAACCCCACCACTGAAATTCACAGGTGGGTTCAATGCATGGCACTTGTCAGTTAAACAATAGGAGAAATGTTTAGTGACAGTGAAAATTTTGTCACACCTGTTTGTGTCCCCTAAGAAATGTGATTCAGACCTATGAGGTTCTCTCATGTCTTTGGTCACTGAAGAACTGCTTGGAAATAAGACAAAACTGTTGGTGATGTATGAGTGTTTCTCTCTCCTCTGGTACCTGCTATGTGTTTGTAGGTTAGCAGTGGAATTACAGAGTGACCCCATGGCCCAGGAGAATGCTTTCACTGCTCCCTGCTCGGAGAGCAAGGAGACTCTGAACAACTTTTCTGAGTTCCTGTTGAGGATCTGTGACAGTCTCTGCATCCCCATGGTCATGGTAGAATTTCTTTTGGAATTGTTCTGTTCCTTGGGTACCTGGAAGGTGCCCTCAAGCACCAACAGTAGGTGGCATAGGTCTTTTTGGGAAGAGAGCTTGTAGAGTAAACCTAGAATAGCAGAGGCATTTGCCACCTCTCCTGAGCTGACTTTGGTATTTATTATACAGTTCATGCAAATGGGAGTATATAGTCACAGAGGGTGGAGAAATTCATAGTGCTGTTTCTTGCTCATTGAATTTGGGTAAAAATTAATGGACTGTGGTAAAATTGCTCAGTGACCTTCAGCAAAGGTGAGCTGAGTTGTTCTGCTCTGAACATTTTAGTGCTGGACTTAAATGCTTGTGTTTGCCACTGCCCAATAAAACTTTGAAGCACAGGTATTAAGTGCTACTGAAGTCAGCTGCATTTCAGTGCATGTCTTGTGTTGCATACTGTGCCAGAGTTAGCCCTCAGATCTGCAAGAGCAGTTAAGTCCAGAGTTGTAGGGGCAGTAATGTTAGTTGCTGCCAGGCATTTTGGTGGAAGAATTGTTCCTCCATTTGTTTGGACTTACTAATCTTAACTTTCTGGGGGGGCAGGAGACAGGAGGCAAGCTGCAGCTTTCAGCATGTGTTGTGTATCGCTCATCTATTCCTTTCTTCCTTCTGCAGAACTACCTGGAAACATCTGTCAGCTCCTCAGTGATGGAGGTTTTCATCTCGGCACTTAATACCCTCTTTGCAGTGGTGCCAAACATGCGAGATAAGTTCTCCAAAAAGCTGGGTATGGGGATGGAATCATGCTCTCTGTGCTGTTAACTGATGGAACTTCCTGCAGCAGCATGTTGCAGAGGCAGGGAGCTTAACCAGAGTGTTTGTGGAGGATTATGTGACATGATTGTATGAGTAAGAATGGAGTGCACAGTCATGATCAGTAGGATGAGAGAGTTATTTGGGCTAGCAATAGTGATTGGATAGATTTTATTTTTGATAATTAAATTATATCAGCTTCATCTTTTCCCCTGGAACATTCAGAACTGGCTGTTCCTGTGGATAGAGATTATGCTGGAATTATTGGTGGGCATTCATTGTGTGGAATTCTTATTCACTCTGTGTATTTCTTGCTGTTTGTGCATCAGAGAGATGATGCAGATTTCCTCTCTTGTGAACATATAGATCTTCCTTTCTCTTTCTGAGAAGACAAACAAAACTCAGAGTCCTTTCCAAACCAAACTTGAAATAGTTTACTGTGGGAGAACCTATTGGGGAAGCCTAAAATGTATTCTTACTGAGATGGCCTGCTCTGTTGTCTAGATTTGTGTGGAGATGATTAGGGGGCCAGTCTTCTGTTTTGCCTTATGGTACATATTCTGTGCTCCTTTGACGTTTGTGTCTTGCTTTCTCTATAGCATCCTCCTGCTTCATCCGACTGACACTGGAACTGAAAGCCAGATTTTGCTCTATACAAAGGTATCGTTGTATGTGTATTGTGAGCAAGTCAAAAAGACAGAAAAGCAGATCATGCCTTATTTAATGCACCTGAATTAAACAAGGGAGGCTGAAAGACTCAAGAGCAAAATATAAACACTTAACTGTCTGTGGAAAAGCTGGATGTGTGAGAAGGGAGAAGGAGTTAGGAAGGGCAAGAGTAAATTTTCACAGCTTTGTGAGAATCCTGAGCTCCACTGTAAGCTGTGCATACAGAGATAAAGCAGCCTGACTTTTAAATAGTGAAGTTGGTGGGTGTTTTGTAATGAAGTAACAGTAGTATGAGTTCCATCTGAACCCTGGCTTCCAATACATGTATTACCACTACTTTTGTTCCCTGTGCCATCATATTATGTAAGAAAGGGAAGGGAGGAGGAAGACTTCAGCAGGAGGCATTGCAAAGAATGTTCTGTAGCAGAGGTTGTGATTTCTAGGTTGAGGAGGACTGAGGGAAACTTCCTTTTGGTCTACAGAGATGTTTTACCTCCTCTTTCCTTTGACTGCATCTAATTAAAAGAGTAAACAAAATACAGCACCCTCATCCAGGCTACCAGTTTGAGGATACCTGTGCATGTGTGGGATGATCTAGGTTTCTAAATGCAATAATGTACAATACAAGGATGCTGTGCTACACTGCAAAGTTGTTTGATTATGTGCTGTTGGAATAACTGGACAAAAAGAAATACCTAGAAATAGAACTGTTCTCACCCCTTTAGTCTTGGTATTCTTCCGTGTTCATCCCTGTAAACACCACTGTGTCAAAAAGGTTTGCAGTGGTAAACTGGAATCAGTTATGTGGAGTGGAATGAATTATTGGGAGCCACCTTCATACAGCCTTCTTTGCACAGTTCAGGGCCCTGCACTTTCAAGACTTCCTGTGAATATAGGATTTGAGGTTTGTGAGAGTATCCCACTGTATTCATGTCATCCCAAGGCATCTAAAATTACTGTTGTCATCATTACTTGCACCTGCCATGTCTGAGAGCTGACTGTTCTCTGGGAACTCTTGATTTTCCTGGAAGCCCAGGTTGGCTCCTGGAGTCCAGTAGTGACAGAGCAGGTGCTTCAATATGATGAGTGAGTAAACCAAAGTCCTGGCAGACAGTTTGTGACACTGGAAGTGTAAAGAGGGTGTTTCTAACCTTCTTACCGTATTTTCTGCTCTTCTTTACAGTAATCCTGCCTTGAATCAGGCCTGCTCCAGCTTCCTCTGCAACTTATGCCTCAGCCTTTACTCTGCCACAGAGAAGGAGAGAACTTCTTCTCAAGAAGGCAAGTTTGGGGTTTAGTGGCCAGCCTCTATTTAGGCAAATTTAAAAAAAAAAAAGAAAAAAAGAGAAAGAAAAGATGAAGGAAGGGATGGGACACAGGAACATGTATGAGTTCTATTTAGAGATTTCTTTCTAGAATGAATCAATTGAGATAAAAGCCAGAGAATGGTTTTAGAAGAGTTTGACTTTACTTGAATAGATGTGTGCTTATGGTTTTGTTTACATGGTGACATTTATTAGCACAACTGTGCATGGATTAATTACAATAATATTAGTTGCCACAGAGTCACCCTTATCTGGGTATTCAAGTCCTTTTTTCCCTCTGACATGCTCTATTTTTCCTGTCTATACTGCAGCTTTGCATTGTAGGTAAATCCCAGATAAGTGATGAAAGTTTTCGTATCACGAAATCTACTTTTCTACTGGCAGTGGTTGGTCACTGTACTGTCAGCATCAGAAGGAGTTGAGAACCTCAAACAGAAGTTTCTTTTCATCCCCGGGGCTAGCTCTAATATATCAGATCTTATGCCTGTATTCACACCAAGTCATGGAGATACACTTGCTGTTTCATGTACTGTTTGCAGACTGTGAGGTACTAAGTTGGCTTTGGTATTTCTTATATCAGGAGCTTCACTAATTTAACATGCTTGAGTTATAGGCAGATAGGTGCTTCAGTCCCTCCTGTTTGTCTTCCCCTGTCTGCTCATATTAGTTTTATTTCTAGAGCGAGAGATATCTGAGCTCCTGCAGAAGTGTCTGCCTCAATTAAACTACACAGTTGCAGAAAGCCTTCTCCTCCTGGCTGAAAACCCTGAACCTCTCTCCTTGGATCAGTCTCTTTGCAATCACCAACACTGCTTCATACTCCTCTTATACTTTGCCTACACCCTTGGAGACAGGTGAGCCAAGAGCATACAAGGTAAGTGATTATGTGACCATCACACATATGTATCAGTGGGTAAGGCATGTCTGATTTGTTTCTGCTCCAATCTCCTTGAATGCAGGTTTGTCCCAGAAACTGAATTGTTTTTAGCCATAAGAAATTTTCTCCTGCTAGCACAGGACCATCGAGACTGGCCCCCTCCATACGTACTCAGAGCTGTGCTTTACCTTCTTGCTGTCTGTCAGGACAAAGGCAAAGCCCTGGACTCGGTAAAAGATTTCTTTCTTAACACTTGAACCCTTTTTGTTAAAGGTTTTTCTCAGCTCTCGTCAACCCTCTTGTAGAAAGTAATTTGATGCAGTCAGTGATGAATGAGAGAGGAGTGTATGATGCATATACACTCTGGAAAGTTAGCTGTGAAAAGCCACTAGGGGATATAGATTTGATTGAATAAACTTGTGTCTGCGTGGGAAGCGTAAATGTGTTGGATAGGCTGTGAACTCACATACAGAATATTATGAATTTCATAGCTCCAGTCTCCTGAACACATCCACAGCCTCTGCAGCAGGCTTTCTAATATTCCCATATGGGCCTTTGCTGCTGCACAGCTTTGAGCACTACATAAAGCCTACAAGTTTCTTAGCCTTTGTGATGCAAATGGGCTTCACAAAATGATGTTTAACTGATGTATTTGATTGTCTGGTTAAAAGGCAATGTGATTGTTTTTCACAGTAAAATCTCACTGCTTTGGCTTTTGGATATTCACTATCTGGCAGTTATTTTGTTGTCTCCCCACCTCCCCCTTTCTCTCCCACACATTTACCAGAGGTCACTGTGTACTGTAAAGAGGATCCTGGATAATCTCCCAGATCTGAGCTTGGTCTACATTCATTGTCCTCTGCTGCTGAAATTCTTCCTGCACTACCCTGAACTTATGGGCAGATTTGGGCACCAGGTCCTGCAGCTCTGGTTTTCTTGGGAAGACTGCAATCATGTGGAGACTGAAGAAGCTGCTTTTGGCACGTCTGATCAGCTGAACAATGCTAACCCTTTACTTCCCATTCTGAAGAGCAATTCCAGCATTTTACTTATTTTACTGGTATGTGACTCACAAGGACCGACTGTTATCCTGGCTGTAACTTAGGGGGACCAATTAGGGCTTTTTGGTTATTAAAGCACTTAATGCTGCTGTCCCAAGGCCAAAGATTCTGCTAGAAGGGCCCTTGAGTTTATACACAGGCTTCCACCTTGCATCAAGCCTGATAACAGCAAATGGGATTGTGAGAATGTGCTACCTCTTTCTCTGTCATCCATTCACTGTGATAGAAAGGGAATTTTGAGAATTGGCTAGGAAGGGATCTGAAAGGTGCTGCTGATGTCTACCATGCAAGGAAATCATGGGCTTTTCCCTTTCTCTATCCAGACACACAGCTGGATAGTCTAGATTCTTTTGGGGCAGCCTTTTAAGAACTTGCTTTGCTAATTTAGAAGCAATGGTATTCTACTAATAGGTGAGAAGGATATGAGGAACAAAGAATGTTCAAAAGCAGCAGGTCTTGAGGGCATGGATTTCTGTTTGCTTGGGTTTTTAACAGGAGAGCCTTGTCAGAGATTTTTGCACTGCTCAGAGGTTTTCAAGACTGCAAGTAGCACACTGCATTGCTCTTAAAAGTTAAAATACAAAACTCAGAGGTCTTTGCTCACTTGCACCTCTCCCACCTGCCCTGTCACCCCTGCATTGGTGGCCACTTGTCCCACGACTGCCTACCCAGTTGCATAAGTAAATCCTTGTTACTTCCACACAAGAACACAAGATTTACATTTATGCCAAAAGCTAACAGCTGTGATGTTTCTTCTCCAGCCTGTTACAGTAGGAATTTCTTAGATTCTACATATGTTTGATGTATCATCGAGAATAGAAACCAATGTCAGCAAACAGGCGTTTGCTGACAATCCATGTTTGAAACCAGGTTTGATTCTGAGTGGGCACCCTTGTGGTGTTACAAGCTGGCATGTGTTTGTTCTAACCTTAGATACTATAAAGTGAATTTTAATATCCAGATTATGGAAATGACTGACAGAAGGGCTATTCCATCAGGCAGTTCTTTAACAGTTAGGGAGATATTACAGAATCCAAGCTTTTATAGTATTGCCAGAGCCATAGTAAAAGAGATCAATGACTTGACAAATCAGTGCAAATTAACAAAAAGTGTCCCTAGAGACTTGTCTATCCTATTACCTTTGGCAGTAGCTCTGGAACCCATCACTCCACAAACTAAAAATATACATCGCAGGTCTATCGCTACACAAAAGGGAAATGATGGCTCCTTCTCCAAATCATGCAGCATTCCTACTTTCCCCTTTCCTGTCCTGCCATGTACTTGTGCAGAAACACATTAATTTAACTCTGTCCCAGTCTTTAAAGTGAGTTGTAATAAATCACAGGCTTTGACAGTCTACCTCTAAGCTGGGGAAGAGCATAATCAATCTGAATTTAGATGGCCTAATAAAAGAGTGCAATGTCCTGAAATAAATATACTGTCAGAAATAAACAAAACTGATGAGGTGAATAACCTCAGCTTGAAAATCCACTAGTGAAATGGAAAGGCCTCTGCATGGTGGGGTGAAACAAAAAGGAATGCCCTTCCAAGGATGATTTATTTGCTTTCTGCTTTTATTAAAAGTCTGGATTATATAGAACAGATGGTTGGTGGCTTCATCTGAGACCTTGAGATCCTGAGTTGGGAGGAAAATGTTAACACAGTGAAGCATTTACCAGTGCCAGGAAGGCTGTGGCCCTCGGTTAGCACTATTTTGTGCTGTGTGTGCTCACCTGGGGATGAATGTGGTGTGATCACACACTGGCCCACTTGTCTTCTCCATGCTCCAGATCTGAGCTGATCTCTCGGAGAGTAGTTACAGGATACTGATATTAGATTGCATTCTTGAACGTTATATGGAGTAGGTATATGTAAGTGAAGCATGTTGTGCAGACGACTCTCAGGCCTTTATTCCTGAATGTCTCAGATGTGGGCAGGAATTAGGCAAACGAAAGGCTTTTTTTTTGTCTGGCAGAAGCAGCCTGTTCTTACCTTAACTGCTTTTCTTGAGTACGGGTTCCCAAAGATAGCAGGAAAAGGCTTAGGGCAGGCTCTAGGGTTGGTAACATTGCTCAGACCAGTTTTTGTTTCTGCTTACCTCATTCTGCTGTACCATTTGCAATGCAGTAGCCAGGACTACTGGGAGAGGAATGGCAGTGCTGATGTAATTTATGTTGACTATCTCATTATGTCAGCACTATGGGGCATTTTCTGCCTTGTCTTTATGGAACTACATCTATACATGCTCTGCAGGTAAATTTAATATTAAACACCTTAGCAACAAACAAATGCCCAAATTAAGGCTACTGGCTGTGGGATTTAGCTCAGAGACTCCAGACAGCTCTTTATTCAGGAAGGCTTGTGGGCTGAATGCTGTATACATTACTCTTCCATTTTCAGTGACTGAGTGATTGCTTGTCTGGTTTATGTACATTTCATGCAGTTTAGCTGTTGTGTTGCTGTTGTAGGTAGTAGGCTGCCAACCTCAGTCTTCTGAAAATGACTAATTACGAACTGACTCACAAGCTTGATTTTAGGCAAGCATCTTAATATGCGGCCTGATTTTTCAAAACAACAAGGAGAGCAGAAGTGCCAGAGGCTCTGTGTTCTTGGAAACAGGGTCTTGGCTTTGTGAAATCATTTTTCTAAAGCCTTGACCTTAAAAAATGTTTCCTCTACCCTTTTGTGCTGGACTGGGGCGTTCCATAGCCAAGTAGATTCTTTAAACAGCATATTAGTCAGTGCTGCCTATCAGAAGAGAGTCCTCCTCTTTTATCCAGTACTCCATTTAATCAGGACATAGTCAATCTGAACAGTGCTTTATTAGAATGTTTCCCAAGACACCAGATTAGCATAATGGTATTAAATAGAGGTGATTTTTCCCTAATCAGGGCAGAAAGATAGTGTATGTGTTTCTTTCCTCCCAGGACCTGGTCTGCTCAAGTTCTGTGGAGGTGTCTCAGAAGGTGTTGATGGCTCTAAGGACCTTTCTGGAAAAAAATGAGGATGTATTTGTCTGTGACCTCCTCCGGAATCAGTTCCTACAGATTCTGCAGCAGCTACTTGTAGAGAGTAGCTCGGCCTCCTTACAAGGTGACTCCCCTCTTTGACTTGGGTCTTGTGTTGTCAACTAACCAGGGAGGTGGCTGGCATCATACAGTCTGGGATGAAGTGTTTTTGAGCTGCTGACGTAGCTTTGGTACTTATCTACATGAGGAAACATACAAACAGAACTTTACTTATTTAATTTTCTTATCCAGAGATTCTTGTTTTGAAGTGTCTTTTTCAGATTTAAGTTTGTTCTTTTATTGAGGTATGATTGTTAAACTGAGGCAAGTTTATGTTGCCCTAGGTATTCACGTGGAGAGCTGTGCTGGTAAGTTTTTTCTGAAAGACAGAATCCTTTCTGCCTCCTTTGTGCAAGACAGCTGGGTGTGCCTGAATTCAGATGGTTTCCAAGGCACAGAGGCTGGGCACAGACATCATTTGAATCATTCATGATATTGATCCCCAAACAGGATCTGTGATATTATCAGACTTTACAATTCTGTTAATTCTTTCAAACTTTTAGCAGGGTTATGATTGGAGGAAATCTCTGTTTTCCTTACCAGCCCTGGCAGTGGAGTAGGGACTGTTAACCTATCAGTAAAGGTGCTGTGAAAGCTGCCTGTGAGCCTGAAATGAAAAAGGGAGCAGAGCTGGAATATCTTCAGCTCTTCAAGGATAGGAGTCCAAATCAGCTTTTGGCTGTCCTTAAAGGGGGGCACTAACACTACTAACTGCTCTGTCTGGGGGTTTCCATGGCCCAAAGTTGGTATGAAAGCATGAAAGGGGCAGTTGTTTTGCCCTAGCTTGAGGAAAGTCTGGTAGGCTGGAATAGAGGGGATGTTAAAAGTAGGAGCATGATAGTATAGAATGCTTTGAAATGTGCATAAAGAAGGCAATGTTGGCATCTGCTAGAGCTATCTTTTTTGGAATTGTGCACATCATGAATTAATTAGCAATTAATTACTGGCAGCCTCATGCGGAAAGGCAAATTTCATCAAGAACATAGTAGTGCTTAAGATACCTGTAAATATTCTGTCATCAAAACTGAAAACTCCTAAGTCTTTGTGGAGCTGTTTTCTGGAAATGAGTGTTGCTTGCTGTAGGTATGGCTCTGTTCAGTACAAAATCCTTACCTGTTAGCAGTGCTGTAGAGGATAATAAGCTAGAATCACCAGCTTATTACCCTAGAGTTACGAGGGAGGGATGTGTTTGCTCTGGGAAGCTGGTGGTCTGAAGAGCCTCATTCTTGCATACAGACCTGCCACGTAGGCCTCTAACATCTCATGTCTCTGTTCTGCCCGCTGGCGGTTTTCCAGCCTCACAAAATCCAGAGCAAGTGTTGCACAGCCAAGTATTCTGAGCTTCTGGCCTGCTGTCGAGGTATAGGCTGCTGGTGATGGTCAAGTAGATGGGAAGAGGGTTGTCTGGAATGGGCTGGTGATTCTAGCTTATTAAATATATGAATTTGAATGTGTAATGACCAGGTCTCTTACGTGGTTTATTAAGGGTGTAAATAATGACCCTAGCCTCCTTCTTTCCACCTTTTTTTCCAGTTATTCCTAGAGTGGTACTGGCAGGATCCGCCATGTAATTCAGACCAACCCACAGTTCTAGGAAGGGGGCCTGGTCCAAAGGAACTGTAGAGATGAGAATGAGGTTGGGAGAATGTAGGTGTGTTTCGGTGTGGAGAAGGGGAATATTTGCTCCTTAACTCACTCTCCTTCCTGAGCAACAAAGTTAACAATTCTTGGCACACTTAGAGGTAGAATGTTAAAGTTCACTGACAAACTGAACTGTCAGTATCCTTCATAGCTAACAGGAACCTGCCCATTTTGCTGAGCCTCCTATTCCTGGTGCAGCTGCGGAGCAAGGGCATGAGGGAGCTGGACAGCACAGACTTCAAGCTGCTTCACCAAGGTGAGCTTGTGTGTATCCGTCTTCTCCCAGGGACTTTGATCTGTTTCAGTAGTTAATACATAAGATGATTAGGGGCTGGCTCTTGGTCTTTTGAGAAGTGCATTACACTTACTGTTGTTTTAAGATACTTTCATAGCCAAAGTGTTGCAAAGAGCTCTTGTTGCCAGTTTAGGCAACAAAATACATTTTTTCTGCCTCTTGCAGAGGCAGATGTCTTTTGCGATACACTTTTTGTTTGAAAACCTCAGAAGGTGGTTGAAATATTCTTGTGGCCATGACTTGATTTCAGAGCCTGTGACTGTTGTTGATGTGATACGTGATGTGCTGATGTGCTCTGTGTGTCGTCCTTCTCCATCCATGCTTGGTGTTGTGGTTTAGCCCAGCTGGCATCTGAAAACCACACAGCTCACACCCCCTCCAAGTGGGATGAGGGAGATACTGGAAACAAAATAGAACTGGAAACAAAAATGGGTTGAGATAAAAACTATTTACTGAAACAGAAGAGGAAAGTGGAAACAAATATGCAATGATAACAATATATATATATACCCTCAATGCAATTACTTGCCACCTGCCAGCTGACACCGCGCTACCAGCACAAAGTCTCACCACCCACCCGAGTGAAATACAAACAGCCCCTGTGCAGTGACTGCCCTACAACTCCCTACAGCCTTACAGATTTTCACATGATGTTACTTGGTATGGAAGAACCCTGTGCCTAATTCAGGCAAGCTGTCATGGCTCCGCTGTTTGGCTGAAACCAGGACACTTGCTAGCACAGCACTGAGATCCTGGCCCCAGGGGTGTCCTGTGAACCAGCCAGCGGGGACCAACAGCCTAGTGTAGCCAGACTTCCCCTGGGCTGTGAATCCAAATTATGTTGGTCCCAGCCATTGGCAGGACTTGCCTGCTCCACCCCTGAGACATAGAAGAGAGGAGTGTGTTTGTTTATTCCACGTATCCTGACCTGCTCTTGTCTGCTGATTGTTAGTAGATGACTACTTCTCTCTTGCCTGGCAACTGGAGATTCGTGCAGGCCATCAATGAAGGATACTAGAAGAGTGTTCAGCTGATCCATTCTCTCACCTCTTTCTGCTCTGTCAAATTGATTTCTACAGAAGACTTTGAAGGGTTATCACTTTGAATTAGAAATGTTCCATGTCTCAAGGCTGCCTGTGTTGTCCTTGTAAGGAAGCAGTGTTTCTCAGACATTCATTAGCTAAGGGAACTGGGACTGTGAAAGAATCATGTCTTTTTTCTACCGGCTCTTCGTAGCCTCTGTAATTTCAGAGCATGGCTTAGCTGCTCTCAGAAGTAACAAGCTCCTTCTGCTTTTTCTTTCTGTTCTGTTTGTTTTGTTTTCCTACACAACTCTCTCTCTGCCCCAGCCACCCCTTCATTCCCTCTTTTACTCCTCAGCCTATGTTCTTGAAGGAAGAGTGCTCTTCTCTGATGAGGCCTACATAAAACCAGCCTGTAGATGGAAGGGGTGTAGGGAGGCATGTCAATCTGGTTTTTTTTGCTTGTTTGTTTTTGAGAACTGCTTACTTAGAGTTTAAGTTTTCCAAAAGATCTCCTATGATAGTGCTGCTGAGCTCTGCATTCCTGCATTTCCCTCACAAATTCTTGCTAAACACTATTCCTAAGTATTTGGTGCTTCCAGCAGGCACGGTGCGTTTATTACTTCTATGAGCAGTGTGTCAGGTGAAGAAGCAGAGCTCTTCCTACCATCCTCTGGTCTGGTTATTGGTCACCATGTGAAATGGGCATGTGGCTTTTGATGGTCTATCCAGTATTAGGATCAAATTTGCTCAATGGAAATGGGTAACTTATCTAATAGTCTGTAGTTCTTGGATTCATTACTGCCCACTGTGGTGTATGCCCTTTAATATTCCCTTCTCTGTTGTTTTTGTTGTTTGTTTGTTTGTTTTGCTTTGTTTTTGTTCCCCCTCCCCCCCCACACACACCTATCATCATCCTCCAGTACACTGTCTGGTCTAAAGCAGACTCTCTAGGGCTTGTTGCTTTGTCTGTACCATGCTCTGTTTAATTTTGCTTCAGGTTGTGTTGCTCTTGTCTGAATTCACTCCCAACTGACTGACTTCTTGCTTGTGCTGAGGTGCTGCATTATGTTGGCGTCTGTGTTAACGCATGTTCTTTTGTTTCCAGTCAGTAACCTCTGTGGGAAATGCAGGCCGAAAGACATAGACCTCCTGCAGCCATCCTTGAATTTTCTGTACTGTAGCCTTCACCAGACAACACCTTGTAGTCAACAGAGAGGTGAGGCAAGATTGTATTGATCGGTAAGCTAATCTCTGCAGGGCTGTGGCTTGGCCATCAGACATTGTGTTCTAACTGTCTCAGCAGGAAAGGTGGATTTTTCCCCTTTCTGATGCAGAGTTACAGTTAACAAACAACACTTTGTGTTTGGGATGATTTTTTCTTTTTAGATGGAGGGTTTGGCTTTGTTTTTTGTTGCCTTCTGATGATTCAGAAGTTGGCTGCTGAGAGGCAGAACTGCTGTATTTTTTTTCTTCATAACACACAGCAGTGGGGCTTTGGTGCCTTGTTGAATTGTCCTGGTAATTGCCATGGTTCAAAAAATTAAACAATAATAGAGGCAGCAATAACCAACCTCCTCGCTGTGTTGGCTGAAGTCTGGTCATTTTAGTAGCAGCCTGAGAGGTCGCTCATGCTGTGGGAGATGAATACTGTTATAGCTGGACAGCCTTAGCTTGACCAGCCATGGCAGCTAGGGCTGCTTCACAGCAGCAGGGGTGTGCTCTGCAATTCTCTTCTGCTTGTCAAGCTGATTTAACCTGTGACATCCCATCAGCCTCCTTGATTCATAGTGCAGCAGCCCAGATGCCTCTGTGTAGCCAGTTTCTCTGCTTCCACTGCTGTAACCACTCCCACTGGGTACATACCACCATCCAGGAGTCAGTGTAGAAGTAGAGCACTGGCCACTTCTCTTGTTCAGCAATATCTTAAACCAGCTGGATGGCCTTCCCTCCTGCAAATTGTCTCAATTTCCTGTGCAGGAGGGAAGATTTAGATTAGATGTCAGGGGGAAGTTTTTCACTGAGAGTGTGGTGAGGTGCTTGAACAGATATCCCACAGAGGTGGATAGATTGTGGATGCCCCATCCCTGCAGGTGTCCAAAGCCAGCTTGGATGGGGCCCTGGGCGGGCTGATTTAGTATGTGATCTAGTGGCTGGCAGCCCTGCCTGTGGCAGGGAGGTTGGAATTGAATGATCCTTGAAGTCCCTTTACAACCTAAGTCATTCTATAATTCTATGATTATGATTCATTCTGTTTCTCCTGTACAGCAGTGGCAGTGCTGCTCTCCAATGTGTCCTTGCTCGAGCTCCTCCAGAAGGTTTTGGAGTGCACCTGGACGTGGTCTTTTCCCTCTGAACCTACTTACCTGTCATCTGAGGATGCCTTGCTAAGCTCAGGATGGCTGCTGGCTGCTTCCCTCTTAATTTATCAGCATCGTTACAACACTGAGGTTAGAGCCATTCTGGTTCAGATCCATGGACTTGTGAAAATTTTAAAAAATAATTCTTTCTTAGCAGGGGAAAGTGGTTTGTTTTGGCCTGGAATCTGCTTGTCCTTGTTGCTTTTTTGTTATTGCCTACAAGTTATTCTTTACTGCATTTCTCCAGCTGGACTGGAAGCTAGCATGTTACTGAAGAGTGAGACACAAATCATTGCAATTAGAGATGGGCAGAAATGCTGGGATTTGGAGGGAGTGGAGAGGAAAACACCATACCCAGCCCTCCAGGTCCAAACCACTTTCTTCTTCAGGATAGAGCAAAAAATCTTTGTCAAGGGAAAACTAGGAGTGGAGGAACAGCTCCCATGGTTAGGTTTTTTTTTGTTTTTTTTTTGGTAGTAAAATGATCAATAATCACAGTCCAAACCTCTTACTGTCAAATAAGTACTTAATGTTAGCAAACTCATATGAATTTAGGCAGCTGTCATTGTATTTGACGCTTTGCAGTCCAACAAGAGGGCTAGGCTGGAGCTGTCAGCTGCTGTTGGAACTACGAGTTAGAGGGAATGGAGAGCTTTTTAATGTGCACACAAGGCAACAACACTTCCTTCTGAAGTATCTACCCAGGCCTGTCTTCCCTCTCTTGAGATGGAGTTAAATAGCATGTCATGAGTTCTGAACTCCACTTCTGTGGTTATGCCTAGTAGGGTATATTCTTTGGTGCATCTGCTCATGGATGATGAAGTCACATTAAGGGCATGTTTGCATAAGCACAAGTAGGCAAAGATTGTTTTTTTAATGTTGAGGGAAGACTTTGGAAAAGACCAAACTAGGTCAAGTCTGTACCTTTTACTTGATGGCTGTGCTGCCTCTGGTTAAGCGTCACCCTGGACTTGTAGGGACCATCAGTTGCGTGAGTGTATGGGAAGATCTTCCTGTCTGTTTTATTAACTGCTGAGTGCAATTTACATTCTCAGTTCTCAGGTCAGGGTTGTGTCTGAATGGTCAGTTATGCCAGCCCCAAAGTGATTTTGTTCAGGTGACTAGTATTGAGTTTCACCTTCTGGGATTGACTCTCAGCTCATATTGATCCTTGAAGTGCAATCATTTAGTGGCTTATAAACTTGTTTGATTTCATCAATACCTTACTGGCTCGATATGCTGTGATCTGCAATCCAGAATCCTCCTTGAACCAGAAACATGCAAAGAAATTACATATACAGATGGCAAATTGAAGTGGTTCAAGGATGTTTGAGTGTTTCTAATCTTCAGAACTTCTGAGCTTCAGTGTTTCTAATCCGCTGAGAGGAAGAAAAGAGGATAGAAAGAGTCACTTTGCTGCTTCCTGCTGCTCAGCGTTGCTGAAGCTTACAACAGAGCTACTTGGGTGCCTCTGTAGAGAGACCTTGTGATTGCGAACGTGACCAGGCTGTATTTCTGAGCCTGAAATTCATGGCTTCAAAAATGTGAGTTGCCCACATTCACCTCAGGTGTGCATTAGTAATGGGGACTTGCCTGGCCATAGCAAGTTTGTGTCTTAGCTGTGTTACTGCTCGTGACTTTAGCAGAAGCCTGTGGGTAAACATGGGTCATAGGTGGTAGGCTAATAAAGGCTTTGAATTGCCAGTGCTTGGACAAGTAGCAAGAGCCACTCTGCTACAGCAGCTACTCCTAGCTCTTGTACTGAACATTCCTCTTTTCACAAAGGCAGCTGGAAAGAATCAGCTCTGTGATCCTGATGCCCGTGCTCCCATACCACCTCTCTGCTTGCTGAACGGAGCAAGTTTGAACCCCTCTGGGCCTCTGTGATCGTTCCTACCATCACTGCTTGGATGGCTGCTTTGTGGGGGTAACAGGATATTGCAGACTTCCCTCTCAAGCCCACCTTTCCTGTATCTCCTTATTCCCAAGTTCCCAACTCCTCTGCCTCCTTTATGTATGTCTTCATGTCTCATCTGTAAGGAGGTTCTTAGCCTTAGGCACTCTGCAGGCTTCCCATACTGAGCAGGCAGGACCACAGAGCCGTGTTGTCACTGCTGGCTTTTGGTTGCTTGGCTCAGTGGCTGAAGTACAGCCAAGTTTGGTGATGGCTGTTGCCATTTTTCTTCATTTCATTCTCTTGCAGGTTCACCAGACACTTTCTCTAGACCTAAGACAAGTCCTGAATGCAATCATCTTCAGGAATAAGAAGCCAGTCCTGCTGTTAGGTATTTTTTCTCTGTTACGGGGACTAAACTGGGAGCAGCTGCTTATACAGTGTTGCAGGCAAGAAGGGAGATCTGGTGATTGTGGGATGGGAAAGTACAGGTGTTGGTAATCTGGAAGCTTTGAGACTAGATAACAGACTGTGAGAAGGGGCAAATGGAGTCTGGAGTTCTGCTCTCCATTTGGACATCTCTGTCCTGGCTGACAGTGACATCTGGAACTGAGTGTGAACTGGCACAGTGTCACATGTGGTGGAGGTGAACAAGGGAACTTGCTGCCATTCCTGCCTGCTGTTGTGAGCAGGTGCTGGGCAATTCCACTGGGCCCACAAGTCCAAATTTTCTCTCCTCACCTCTCCCATGCTATTGCACAGGCACCAACATACAGGGCAGGGGGGGGGAAAGCACTGACGCATCATTGTGGCTTCCTGTCTAGTGAGCATCGTGCAGTTCCTGAGAGCCATTCTGCGACAGAACTTCTCCTCCCTGCTGGTGACTGTTGTCCAAAACACAGCCCAAGGTACTACACAGTCACAGCCATCGTCACTGGAAGATGCTGCCTTGCACCCCCTCACCACGCAGCAGGTCTTCTCCCTTGTTGTCAGTCTGCAGAACCTTTTGGTGCATGTCTACTTGCAGGTATATAAAACACCAGTTTTGGAACAACACATAAACTAACCCAAGGAGAAATCACCCTATTGCAGAATGAAAGGGGTCTGCCTTTTCTTTCCTTCTGCCTGCATTTTCCACCCTTATAGAAATGTGATGAGGAGGAGGGAAAATGCTCTTGCTGCAGTATGCAAGGCATGGTGTAGTGTGAAAGGACGTAAATGAAGCTATGTAGAACTCCCTGCTGCTGAACTGGAGAGCTTAAATTTTGTGTGCTGATGACAATCTCTGTTACCCATCTCCTGCTCTGTGGGGGCTCCACACCCATAGGGACAGAGGTGGGAAAAATATATCAAATCTCAGCCCCTCCTCTACAGCCCTGGCAAGGTACTTTGGGGGAAAAGTACATCAACTTACATTTAGTCACTCAAGTGATGTTGGGCTCCAGGGGATGGTACATCGGTTTACATTTAACTCTCTTAAGCAACATTGGACTCCTATCTTTATTTTCTGGAGACAGTTACTTAATTTTTTCATCTCAGAATAAGTACTCGTGCCTTTGTCTGGCTCCTTGACATGACATATAATTTGCAGTACGTTACATCTTGTGAAGGAGGTGAAGGCTGTTATTTTCCTGTGCTGCATGTTCTTCAGAGCCTGCCACTTTATGAATTTTCCTCTTGCAGTAGCTGTTGACTGCTTGTTTTTTCTTGTTTTTTTCTCCCCTCTTGGGACTTCAGAAAGACTTGCTGCTTTCTCAAGCTGTGGTTGCCTGTCTGGAAACATTACTGGAATACCTGTATGTGAGGAACCAGGATGTTGGTAAAGTCTTCTCGTCCTTCCTTCTTCTGGGTTTCCCTCTTGCAGTGATTTTGGGCTCTTTGATCTCCATCCTGTAATGCCTTGGAGCATATGCCTAATGCATTTATGCCCAACAAGAAAAATTATTTGTGTGATCAGAGTTAATCATGTGCTTTGTGGGATGAAATCACAGTGCCTGGTTCCCCTGTAGGAGTCAGCCTTCACTTGGACTGTGAATACCAAGATGTTCTACAGAAGAAAATAGTCACTACCACCCCATGCCTTAATATGATAAGAATGAAACATTTAGGAAATGAGGCAGTATAAGAGTAGTTAGTCTTTCACTTCCAAGCCAATTTAGCAAACATTTAGACCATAAATATAGAGGAGGGAGGATCTGAATATGATGTGTCTTCCACACAGAGATGTTGGCAACAGTTTGTCCCTAAGGGATGTGAAGGGAGAAGAGAGTAGTAAACAGCCTCAGAGAATGGAAGCTGGAAATTCTATATTTCCAGGGGCAAATACAGACCTTGGTTTCAGGAGTCCACGTCAGACCAAATGTATACCATATCAGCAGTATAACATGTGACAGCGTGGTACGGCTGGGGGAAGAGAGGGCCCTTCTGCTCATTGTCAGCCTCCTGTCACAAAGTAGAGATGCTGGCTGTGTTCATTAAACAGAAAGTTAGTTCTCTGTACTCTGATCTGTTCAAATCAGTCATGTAAACACAGAGAAAGAGGGGAATGGAGTGAATGAGCACGAGACAAAAAAGACATTGTTGGGAGAGAGAAAGCTGTTGAATGAAAATATAATAGTGCAGATGAATGACAGCCAGTAGCTGAAGGGAGTCTACTAAGAGGCTTGTTATTGAGGGCATTACACTGATTTGGGATTAAGATAACAAAATGTTTCAGCTGAACCCTTCACTTGGCTGCCTAAATTCTTACTGTGGTGCAGTTCACAACATTGACAACAAGAATCTTCTTATCCTCCCCCAGCACTTTATTTGATTTTCTTTTTTTTTTGGTGTTGCTTTACCATGGACAAGATTGTTGTAGTGGCAACAGGGAGATTATGTGACTGCCAGTGGAAAAGGAATCTTTCTAAAGCAAAGGGCTCAAACCAATTGGTGAACTGTCAAGGTATAGCAATTATATCAGCTGACCTGTTGTAATTGTCCATCACATGCTTTCAACCAGTACAAGGTAATACAACTTAACTTTAGAGTGCAGTGAGAGATTTTGTATTGTCACAGATGGCAACCTTGAGTCTAACCTCTGTTTATCATATACACTTCTAATTAGAAATGTTTTCTCTACTGATTGTTTCCACTGCTGCCATCAGCCTGGCTGGTCCCTGTAGTATGCTTTCTGATGCAGATCCAGGCTCAGTTTTTGCAGCTTATGTTATAGGTCTTCCTTCGTTACCCAAGGAGTATTCTGCAGCTAAATAAAACCTGCGTTCAGGAACCTTGTCCTCATATTGAAACCAGAGGGTATTATTTTTGAAACCTTGGGCTAAAGATATCCTCTTACTATTTTATGACATGAACCCCAGGAGAGGGTTTATCTTCCTGTACAAGCACAAAGGTGGACAAAATGTATTTTGTGTTTTAAAAAGCTGTCAAGCATTAGTCCTCACGACTAAACTCTTGCCCAAAGAGTGACAGATTTTAAAGCAAGTAAGTACAGAGCAAAAAACCCCCTTAGTGTTCCACAGCTTGGGGCCTAGAAGTGAAAATACAAAGTCAGAGTTGAAGACTCCTTTTCCAGATCCAGCCTGTCACTTGACAGATTTTAAAGGTATCTTTCAGTGGCTTCTCCTTCTCTCCCAGCACTACATGTTGCTTCACAGCCCTGGCACCGATTCCTGCTCTTGACACTGCTCAATGGGAGCCAGAAGTCCATTCTGCAGCCAGAAATTCTGAGGCTCATGACTTTGGTGAGTGAGGGCAGGGTAGACTGTTCTGTTTTTTCCTTCTATGTTGGTACAGTGCATCTGAGTTGGTTACTGGAACTTAGTTCCTGCACTTACACAATCTTGGATACTGCTGTGGTTTTGTCCGTCACTGTATTTGTGTCCTATAATAATTGTACTTTGAAGTGAATTTCCTTTCCACGCTGTGCAGAAAGTGACTGCTCTTAGTGAGCACATCCTGTTCTTCTGGTGTTTGTAGCATTGATTTAGCATCACCTAGGACCCCTGCAGAGGAGAGGGGAAGACTACAGAGAATGCGCAGCTGCAGTTGGGAGTGTGCTATGGCTCTTTGGAGAGCAGGGTTTTGTGTGGCATCACTGCTTCTCTCCCTGTCTTTGGCCTTACAGACCTGACTTCTAAGGTCAGGGAACTACTGCAGTGTATGACCCCGGTGTACCTGGGGCCTATGAGCAGGAAAGGAAGTGTGCTCCTACCCAGCAGAAACACCGATGATAAAGCCCTCATAGCAGTACATGAGTGGAAAGGGTTATTTATGTGAACTTTCTTTCTCCAAATAGATGATGTGTCTGTCAATCTTTGTTATTCTTGGTGCACTTTGAAGGGATACTTGGCTCATTTTGATTCTTGCCTGACCTAAACCAAAACAAGTTTCAAGCCAGAGCACCACCAATTTGCACTTGCACTGGTTCTGTTAGAAATGGTATAAAATCAGGCCTGTGATTAGTGTGCTGCAGCGTCCTTTAACACAGAAGAGTTCTTTTCAGGTGATGAATTGCTATTGGAGTCTGTGGGTCACTCACTGATTAATGCCTCTCATTTCCTTTGTTCAAGTTTCTGAAATATCAGAGCAGCAATATCATTTCTCAAAAAGAAATTGGCCAGATTCTCCAGGAAGTGGCAGAAGCCAACTTACTAGAGCTGCCAGAGGCCACATCTCAGGCTCTTCAGCTGTTCCTCTGCCAGGTAAGTGATTGCCTAGGAAAATGAGAAGGGGGTACCCTAAGGGGTTGCTCCAGTCTTTGATGGGGAGTCATAAGCTTCCTCTGAGGCTATAGTGAGATGATGAGGAATCCTGCAGCTGCTAGCTTGACCTTGAGTGGTGAAATGAGAACATGACTGATGCCAGCAGCTGCCTAAACTGGTTGTCCGTATTGTCATGGGCCCCTTGATCAAAGTTTGGAGGGCTCATTGCTCTGGCTGGAGATGCAGGAGGAATGTGTGAAAGAACAACAGTTTGCTGTTCATCTGGAAAACATTTCTTGTCCTGACTGCTCAGATTCAGAGCAGCCATTGTCAGGTGGAGCCAGTGCAGGCACAGGCCATTCAGACTTTGCTGGAGCACCTTCCAGAACGGATGAGCACCTGTGCAAAACATCAGGACATTGTGTATCCTTTTGCTGGGCAAATGCCTTTGATAAGAAAAGTGAGGGGGGGAGCTGTAACAGAAGTAGAAGGGATACTTAATCTGCTGCTCCTGACCATTTTCAGCCAAAGGCAAACAGTGCAAAAAGTTGGCTAACTTTGAGATGAAATACCTCAACATTCTCAAATTTGAGAAGACGTCCGGGAAATGAAGAGACGTTTGGGATGAAAGATGGCTGTCTGTGCTGGGATTGCATTAATCTGTAAGGCAGAGATGGTGTAATGAAAGGGAGGCAGGCTGGGGCACCTGCTGACTTCAAAGCAGAAGCGATTCCCATACTGATTTCCCTGGGGGCTGAGCAGCCGCTTAACCTCTGTCTGTGAGCTAACTAGCACTGCTAAGCATGTGAAGTCTTGGCAACCCAAAGGTAACTCAAACACTTTTAAAGTACAGCAAGTGTTCAGAAACCGCTGAGTGGAGTTACTGAATCTCTTTTTGCTTCACATGAGCACTGGAGTCCCCTGCTGAGAACCAAATCCTTCTTCATGGATGGGAGGGGCAACTCCCAGATTTCTTTTGGGGAAAGAGGGAACCTGATGCCCGTGCTAAATTCAGTGTTGTTTATTTCTGAAACTGCCTTCCGGTCTTCATCATGCCGTGTTGCATCAAATAGGTAGCAGATATGGAACGGTCCCCAGCAATGATTTCCTGTTGGGTGGGGGACTTCCTCCCTCGTGTCTGCGGGGTGACACTGTCCTCCGCCATGGGCAGCATCTGTGGCAGGTGAGGTGTGCATTATCTGTGAGCAGTGGCTTGTCCTCGTGCCTAGTCCTTGTGTGACACTGCCTCTCTGCAGTTGGAAGCTGGGGGTGGAAGTTCTCACGGTCAAGACCGTGTAAACCACATCAAGTTCCTCTCTGCTGGTCTGTGTAGGGGTGAGGGAGGGTGGACGAGAGTCTTGTTACGTTGCTTGAGTAGTTTGGATACCTCTGTTTTATTGAGAAAAAGCCTTCTTAAGGTTCACCCACATGAACATTCTCCACGGGTTGGTGAGATTCCATGGTTTGGGAGAGAGGTAGTTTAGTACGATGATACTTACGGGTCTCTTCCAACTCAGGATATTCTATGATTCTACCTCCTGTCACCACTGTGTCAAATGTGGGAATTCCAGTGTCATGCTGGAGTTTCAGCTGTGCTTTCCCTTTGGTTTCCACTCATGCCATCGATGACAGATGTGTGGGCAGTGTGGCGATAGCCCTGCCACAGTGAAGACTGAAATGAGAAGATGGGGTACGCGCAACAGAGTGAGAGAACAGAATGGAGACAGCATCCTGCCATTTATTCCCTGCAAGTTGTAGAGAGGAAGTGGACAAAGGAAGTTAGTTTGTTGTTAAATTTTTGTTGAATATCATTCATAAAGCAGAGTTTCTTAAGCAGTTCCTCTTTTTGTGTTCTGTTTGGGATGCCACTTAGCTGACACTCTGCAGATTGTAAACTGCAGCACTGCTGGATGGCATGTGGTGGGTGAGGTGCTCTCGTTTTCCTTGCTGTGGGATGAGGCCATCCTGAGCTGTGTCTCACTGGGAAGGGGAGAATCAGAGAATTGAGTTGGAAGGGACCTTCAAAGGCCACCTGGTCCAACTCCTCTGCAATGAACAGGGACACCTACAACTCGATCAGGGTGCTCAGAGCCCCTCCAGCCTGACCTTGAATGTCCCCAGGGATGGGGCCCCATCCACCATCTCTCTGGGCAACCTGTGCCAGTGCTTCGCCAGCCTGATTGTAAACAACTTCTTACATCCCTTCTAAACCTCCCTTCCTATCATTTGAAACCATTTCCTCTTGTCTTACCCTAGCAGACTCTGCTAAAGAGTCTGTCCCCTTCTTTCTTATAGCCCCCTTTAGATACTGAAAGGCTGCTCTAAGGTCTCCCCGGAGCCCCAGCTCTCGGTCTGTGTTCACAGGGAGGCGTTCCATCCCTCGGGTCATTTCCGTGGCCCTCCTCTGGACACGCTCCAGCAGGTCCACGTGTGTCCTGCGCTGAGGACTCCCCACGTGGCCGCAGCACTCCGGGTGAGGTCTCGCAGTGCAGAATAAAGGGACAGGATCACCTCCTTCACACCGCCGGTCGCACCGCTCCGAACGCAGCCCGAGGTACGGCGGCCGGTGGGGCGGGGCGGGAGCTCAGGAAGTGACACGGCGGGGCGGGGCGGGAGGCGGTGGCGGCATGGCAGCGCGGCGCTTCTGAGCGCCGCTCCCGGCCCCGCTCCCGGCCCGCAGGTAGGGGGTCGGGGCGGCGCGGGCCGGGCGGGTCATTGCGGGGCGGGCGTGCGGCGGCTGCTCCGCGGGGCCGGGCCGGTGCCGGGCGTCGGAGGGGAGCCGCGGGCTGCTGCCGTAAAGCTGCCCCGCACGTTGGCCGCTTCCCGAAGGACCGTGGCACCCTCCGTGCGCGCGAGAGAGGGGCAGCCCGGAGCGCTCAGCCCCGATCGAGCGCTGCTTGGAAGAGGAACTCCATCTCCCTGAGCCCGCAGCCGTGCAGAGCCACCGGGTGCTGCCGAGCCCTCCGCAGGCGGCTCTGTCGCTGGCGGAGATCGCAAAGCTGTGCCGGTGATGTCCCCGCAATAGGAGTCTGAGTTCGGCGGGTGAGGGACTCGGAGGCGAGCAGATGTGGCCGTGCCATCACTGTTCAGCGCGAGCATTCCCTGCTGAGCCTCGCGGAGGAATGCCGCGGGAGCAGTCTGGTACCCCGCTTAACTTCTGAAGCTTTCGGTTCGGGCTGTGCATGTCTCAATCTCATGTAGATTGAGCCACGTATGCTTGGCGGTGTGGGGATGGACTCCCGGTGGTGCAGCGGCCCGTCGTTTCCCCGTTCTGTGCTTCTGCACTGAGGAGGGGAAGCGGGGCTGTGCCGTGCCGGTCTCTGAAATGCTCGGTTCGGATGCAGCTCCCTCGGGAGAATCTATAAAGTAATTAAAAAACACGTTAATGGGAACCGCTAACTGTCTATAGTGCAGCGTCTGTCGTGCTTTCGAGAAGCGTATCTAAATTAAGAGAATGGGAGACAGCGAGGCAGACGGGTGGGCTCTGCGTGCAGCAAGCAGCTGGTTGGGGCTGCTGGGGATCACAGGGGAACTCCTTCCCATCTGCTACACAGGACAGGCCCTGGCAGCCTGGTGCTTGCTTTTGCAAAGAGGGGAGCAGCTCTGCAGCGTTTCTCTTCACCCAAAGTGAGCTTGAAGGCACGAGGAAGGGCTCTTGGGGAGTGTGGAGGAACATCTGCATAGAGGGTTTTGCATCCCTGTGCTTAGCTTAGCTTAGCTTAGAGAAGGAGGGTCACTGTTTGGGTCATGACCTCATGCTAGAGTCACAGGCAGTGTTCAGGTTGCTTAAATTAGGGAAGATTCAGGCAAATCTTTCCCAGTTCTGTGATGTAGTCTGGGCTGGAGTGTGCATATGGTGTGTGAGCTGATGGGGCTCTGGTGGTGCAGGAGCACAGCACATTGCTTTTGGCACAGGAAGCACTGGAAGGGGCTGCGCAGTAGTGATGGAGTTCCCATCCCTGGGGGTATTCAGGAAATGTGTGGATATGGCACTAATGGATGTGGTTTATTGGTAGGACTTGGTCAGTCAGGTTAATTATTCAACTTGGTGATCCCAGCATGGTGCCTTGGTGCTGTGTGTGAGCAGGGGATGGCAGTGGGTGTGCAGCGAGGACACAGGAACCTTGTCTCTGACATAGCAATGGCTGTTTTGGGTCTGGTGGGCTGGCAGGACTCCTGTGGGGAACATCTCTGCATTGTCACTGGTTTTGTTGGTTTTGTTCCAGGCTGTGGCCTCCAAAATGGATTTCCTCTGGATCTGCCTCATCCTTTTGGCAGTGGTGCTGCCTGAAGGCAGCCTGGCAGACCTGGAGAAGCAGAGGATGGGCTCTGGATTGGAGATCTGTATCCTTTCCCGTAGTGCCATGCCTCTGTCACGCTCACACCTGAGGAGACTGTGGAACACTTGCATGTGAGGAGATGGCTCAAGGGGGATGGAGGAGAGAGGAGAGAAGGGCCCTAAGGCTATGCTTATTGCTAACGACATGGGAACAAAGTGTCATATGGCTGCTGGGCATGACCTTGAGCAACCCGATGTTGCTTTGATCCTGCCTGGAGCAGAGCTGACACTGCATACCTCCAGGGCCCCATATTGCCACCTGCTAGTTCTTGGGCAATACGAAATAGCAACCCCTGCTCAAATGTTGCCCCAGTATCAACCAGCACTGTTGAGCACTTTCCTCGTCTTCCTTTTATAGGAGGGAGTTGTTAATGAGATGTCGGGGCTGGTTCTGAGGCAAGTTTTTCAGGTGGTATCTGATGTTCTCCTCATGCAGTGCTGTTTCTGCTCCTGTGTGCTGGGTGTTAGCAAGCGCCCTGTTGGAGTATCTGGAATCCAGTCTCTTGGCCTCGATATCCCACTCCCAGAACTGGGCTAAGTCTTTTTGGGAGCAGGCTGTAAGCATGCCCAGAGCCCCACAGTGCCCTTGACATCACTCCAGATAAGAAACTGTTCGAGGTGAAGCGCAAGGACCAGATGAATGCCCTGAAGAACCTCATAGAGCTCAATGACATTAACCAACAGTATAAAATCATTGACATCATGCTCAAGGGACTCTTCAAAGTGAGTGTGGAGTGGGCTCGGTGCCGTGGGGCAGGGATGGGTTTGGGGCACCTGCACAGTGATGCTGGGGAGGGCAGGCAGCAGAAGTAGGGCTCACAGACGAGCAGAAAGGGGAACAGAGGGACACAGCGAGGCACCTCATGGGATGAGAGGGCAGTGACTGAGAGCTTTTGCAGGTGCTGGAAGACTCCCGGGCTGTACTCATAGCTGCAGATGTGCCACCAGATGGGCCTTTCCCCCAGGATGAGAAGCTGAAGGATGGTGAGTGCTCCATATCACTTAACCCCCCTGGCTAGGATCTTGAAGCCTGCATCCTCTCTCCCACTCCTGTCCTTGGGGGTTGTCCCATGTCCATCCTTGGTATCCCATGTCTGGTGATGCCCTAAAGCTGGCACTTTGGGGTCTGTGGGGTGTCCTGCTGATGGGGCTGTTCCTCTCTTCCTCAGCGTACTCCCATGTGGTGGAGAACACAGCCTTCTTTGGGGACGTTGTGTTGCGCTTCCCCAAGATTGTGCACCACTACTTTGACCGCAACTCCAACTGGAACAACCTGATCCGCTGGGGCATCGGCTTCTGCAACCTGACGGGCGTCTTTGAGCAGGGGCCCCACTCCCAGCTCCTGGGGCTGGTACGGCCCTGAGGTCACTTTTGGGGGTCTGCAGGGGGCAGAGGGCAGGCAGAGGAGTAGAGGCTGGTGGAGACTGAGGTTTCTGAAGGGTGGGAGGAGGTGGTGATTACGGTCTCCCACAGGGGCTTTGCTTTGCTCCATAGATGGCTCAGGAGCTGGGCATCAGTGAGAAGTCCCCCAATTACCGCAACCCCTTCAAAGCTGACCACTCTGAGGTAGGGTGGCCGAGCCACATAATCCCCCTCTTCTGTGACTCCACTGGGTTTTGGTTTTAGTTGGGTTTTGAAGAGTTTTTATTGTTGGGTTTTTACTGTTTTTTTTTATGGGCTTTGGAGGGTTTTTGTTGGGTTCTGGTTGGGTTATTACTGAGTTTTTGCTGGGCTTTGAAAGGTTGCTGTGTTCTGGTTGGGCTTTGGAGGGTTTTTGTTGTATTCTGATTGGTTTTTTGTTGGGCTTTGGAGAGTTTTTGTTGGGTTCCGGTGGGTTTGTGCTCCACAGGAGACGCCAAGCTCTGGCTCCACTCTCCCTCAAAACACTGAATTTGTCATTTCCTTCGTACTTCCATCTCCTGCCCACCCCAGTTCTTCCCCAGCGCTGACACCTTCCAGAAGGCGCTGCGCGAGGAGGAGAAGCGGCGCCGCAAGGAGGAGAAGCGCAAGGAGATCCGCAAGGGCCCGCGCATCTCTCGCTCGCAGTCTGAGCTGTAGGCCCGGGTGGGCCGGGACCTGCATCGATGCAGCCGCTCCCACCCATGGCTGGGCTGGGGATGCCCTGCCAGCCGCTTCTGTGAGTTTCAGGGTGGATTTTTGTTTTTCAGTCGATGCGGCCCAGTGGTCCCACGGCCCCAAAGTGGGGCTATCCCTGAGCAACGGGCGCTGGGGCACCACTCGTCAGATGGGTGCAAAGCCGTGTGCTGGGGACGGGGCATGCGTTGTTTTTCTGGAATAAATCGGAACGGTTGTTATTTTTTTTACGACGAGGCTTCTTGCTCGCTGCCATGGAGAAGGCGGTGGGCAGGGCCGTGGGCGCGGCGCGGGGCTCACGCTTGTGGGCTAGGCCTTGCCCCCTCATGAATATGTAGCTCGTGAGGCAGGGGGCGTGGTCTCGCATGCTAATCGCAGCTGCTGATCGCCGACGCGCCATCACGCCACGCGGCGCTGCGCGCTCCTATTGGCTGTCGCCGACCTGGTCCCAATGACAGCGCGCGGGGGGGCGGGGCCAGGCAGGTGGGGGCGGGGCCGGGGCGGTGCAAGATGGCGCGGGGCCGGCGGCGCCGGGCTGCTTCCTCCGCTTAGAGCGGGCGGGGAGCGGAACGGGGCCGTGCGACATGGAGAGCGGCGAGCTGGGCGCCGAGGGCATGGAGACCCTGACTGAGCTGGGCGACGAGCTGACGCTGGGCGACATCGACGGTGAGCGCGGGGCCGGGCGGGAGCGCGGGGCTCGGTGCTGTGCCACGCGTGGGCTACGTGGGGGTGCGGGGAAGCCCCCGCAGCGCGTGTTGGCGGGTTTGAGTCATGCGCGTGACGTCACGGGGAGCAGCGTGACGTCAGAGGGCGGCGGGGGGCGAAGCAGTAATTAGTGCCGATCCTAACGAGTGGCCCCGGGGAGGGCCCTGTATCCAAGCATGGAGTGCGTTGGAGCGCATCCAACGCGTTATGTCCGTCCCTTACCTGCGTGGGGCCACCTGCTCGCAAAATGGCAGTGTCATCGAGTGGGAAAGTGCCGTGTTGTGTGTCCTGGGTGCGGCATGGGGTGGTGTGGGGAGAGCCCTACTGCCACTCCTTCACCATAAACCCCAGTGCTGCTTCCATACCTGTGTACAGCCCCTGCGGTATCTGTGCAATGTGGGGTCCTGCATGTCGGATGTTGGGATGGGATCGGGGAGCTCAGATGGTCATCGGGGGGCAGTCAGGAGGAAGCTTTGGCTATGGGATCTCCTTAGGCATACCCATGCATTTCTCAGCTCAAGTTCTGCAAGTTCTGTTTTCTTGAGTGTGTTTCCCCTATTTCCCTGTGTACCTGAAATTACCCGAAGTCAGGGTGAGTCACCATCCGCGTGTCCCGGTGGGGCTCTGTGGGCAGAGGATGGGTGGTGTGAGGCAGCCCTAGGTGGGAGGACGGCTCTTACTGAAGTCATGGGGCTGCTCATCCTCCTCCTCCGAGCGTGAAGCTGGGATGGGGATTGGACAAATGGCAATGGGCTGAAAATATTGGATCCCGAACTCTGGGACTGTTTCAACACAGAGTTACTGGCTACCTCTGGGACTTCTGAAGCTGCCGCTTCCTCCTGTGCCCACTGCTGGCCTCTGAGTCCTGACCCTGTGTCCCATGGAACCAACCAGCCCCAAATGTTCCCTTTCCTTCTTGCAGAGATGCTGCAGTTCGTCAGCAACCAGGCAGGGGACTTCCCAGACCTGTTTTCGGACCCTCTGTGTGGCACCTTCCAGGGTGGCGGCGGCGGTGGTGGCAGTGGCACAGGCGGTGGTGCTCTGGATGCTACGCGGTCCTATGGCCAGGCCCAGCAGCCCTTCCCTCCGCCCGCCGCCTCCCCGCAGCTGCAGAGCATCCCGGTGAAGGTGCCACCAGCCCCACAGCGCCCAGCCCCGCTGCTCCAGCCCCGGCCCCAGCTCCAGCCCCAGCTCCAGCAGCAGACGGTGATGATCACCCCCACCTTCAGCTCTGCGCCCCAGACCAGGATCATCCAGCAGCCTGTCCTATACCAGAACACGGCCACAAGCTTCCAAGGTAGCGTTGGGGTTGGTTGTATCCATAGCAGAAAGCTTAGAAGGCCTCATCATGGTGCAGTCCCTGATGTCTCTCCTTGTTTGCAGTGCTCCAGCCCCAGGTGCAGAGCCTGGTGACGTCCCCCCAGGTGCAGCCAGTCACCATCCAGCAGCAGGTGCAGGCGGTGCCGGCCCCACGTGTGCTGACACAGGCTGCTGGTGGCACCATCCAGGCACTGGCACCCGCCACAGTTCAGACGGTGGCAGCACCACAGGTCCAGCAGGTGCCGGTAAGTGGAAGTGAAAGAGCCTGGCCCATCCACCTGGCTCTCACCTTTAGTAGGTATTGATAAGCGTTAGATAAGTGTTTCTTCACTAGGGAACACTCCCTGTGAAAAAATTGTTCTGGTTCAACTGTGTCAGGAATAATTGCATCAGGAATGATGTGGTGAGCAGGACTAAGGAAGTAATCCTGCCCCTGTACTCAGCACTGGTGAAGCCTCACCTTGAGTACTGTGTTCAGTTTTGGGCACCTCAGTACAGAAAGGACATTGAGGTGCTGGAGCAGGTCCAAAGAAGGGCAACAGGGCTTGTGGAGGACTTGGAGAATATGTCCTGTGAGGAGAGACTGAAGGATCTGGGGCTGTTTAGTCTGGGGAAAAGGAGGCTGAGGGGAGGAGGCCTTATTGCTCTCTTCCAATATCTGGAAGGTGCTTACAGCGAGAGTGGGGTTGGTCTCTTCTCACTGGTGACAGGTGACAGGATGAGGGGAAATGGCCTCAAGTTGTGCCAGGGTAAGTTTAGGTTAGATATCAGGAAAAGCTTCATTACAGAAAGGGTTGTGAAGCACTGGAATAGGCTCCCCACGGAGGTGGTTGAGTCACCATCCCTGAATGTGTTTAAAAACCATTCAGATGTGGTGCTCAGGGACATGATTTAGTGGAGGGTTGTTAGAGTTAGGGTAGTATGGTTAGGTTGTGGTTGGACTCGATGATCTTTAAGGTCTTTTCCAACCTGAATGATTCTGTGATTCTATGATTCTGTGATTCTGTTTGGGCCCTCTGTAGCATTCTTGTATTTGAGAGTCAGTGAAGTACTTAAAAGAGCAACAGCCAGATGTGTCACAGCAAAATAACTGTTCTGACATTCTCCCAGTTAAATCAGAGGAAGGAACCGCTGCTGGCACTGGGAGGTGCTGTGGCATAGAATCATTAAGGGTGGAAAAGATCACTAGTATCCAACCGCCAGCCCATCCCCACCATGCCCACTGGCCACGTCCTTCAGTGCCACTTCCACACGGCTCTGGAACACCTCCAGGAATGATGACTGCACAACCTCCCTGGGCAGCCTGTGCCACTGCTGCACTGCTCTTTTGGAGAAGAAGTTTTTCCTAACATCCACCTCAAACCTCCCCTGGCACAACTTGAGGCTATTCCCTCTCATCCAGTCGCTGTTACCCCCACACATGTGTTGTACCCTGAGGGCTCCCCCAGCTGACACAGGAAACTTGCTACAGGCAAGGGCAGAGGAATCCTTTCATCAGCTCCTTGGTGTTTTTCGGCACTAGCTTACTACTGGTCTCTGATGTCAGCACCAGTGGGTCGTCACTGCCTCTGACCACTGAAAGGAATAGAGCAGTGCATGCCCACTCATCTCCTCACCTCTGGCTGTTCCCTGTGCAGGTTCTGGTCCAGCCTCAGATCATCAAGACAGATTCCCTCGTGCTGACCACGCTGAAGGCGGATGGCAATCCTGTTATGGCTGCGGTGCAGAACCCAGCGCTCACTGCACTCACCACTCCTATCCAGACCACAGCTCTGCAGGTACCACTGTTAATACTCTTCTTCCTCCCCTCAATGACGTTATTTCCTAATACAAGAAGGTTTGGTGTTCGGAGTTCTCCAATGGTGTGGATGGGAGGGGTTCCAAATGCTACTCTAAACATGTCCAATGTGAGTAATGTGCCCCTTCTGCCAAGGCTGAGAGCACAGACTGTGCACTTTTGGCAGCCTCCCATGGCCAGTAAACACAGAGCAAGGGCACGTTCCTGTTTACCTTTTTCTAGCATTACTAGGAGAGGAGTGTGACCGAAGAATTCCATGTGGTTTTTAACCTCCGTGAAAGACGCTTAAAGCCAACTGACTCAGGATGGCTGTGGATCTTTCTTTTCCTTTCTCCCTCTGTAGAATCCAATGGCAAAATGTTGAATGTAAAAACTAATTAAACTACTCCTCAAAGGGCACGTGCTGCAAGGGGTTAGGGTCATCATTCAAGATGGCAGCAGTGCTTCAGGGCCATGACTTATCAGCTTGGAGATGCTTTGTGCCCCAAAGAGGCTTTTATCACAGCCTTGTGCATTCTGCAAAGGTCCTTCTGTTTGAATATTTACTGCTGGAGATAAGCTTGCAAGCCTGGACTTAACTTCTGTCTGCATAGCGTGCTGGGGTTTCTATGCCCTTGGTAGCAGCCAGACCAAAATTTTCAGTTTACTTGCTGTTAGGTCTCACTTGGTCATGGAGATGAGGCTCATGTGATTGTGACTGGCAAATACACAACCCACAGAGCATTCTGAACGCACTGAAATATGCTGGAAATTAACTGAGGAGAGATGGAAGACTTAAATTTACTTATTTGTCAGCTTCCAGCTTTAAGTGAACCTACATTAATTTCTGTAATGCCAATTAGAAAACTATTTCAGAATTGAAGTCGATTCTTAGTTTGCTTGGGGCTGAATTACTGTTGCCTGCATCAGTCTGACTTTTAGTGTAAACAACTCTTCCATAGCAACTTCTCTGATTCTGGGTGTGCTTCAGAGACCAGCTGTACCCTTCCCAATCTTACGTTTCTGGTTGGAGCAGTCTAAATGATTTCCTTTGGTCTGACTGTCCTAGAATCCCCTCTGTGCAACCATTCTGGTAGGATTCACTATATTTTCTCCTGTAGTATGTGCTGCTTTGGCTGGGAGGAGATGGTCTGTTTATATATAAACCATAGAATCATTAGGGTTGGAAAAGACCTGTAGAATCACCTCATCCAACTGTCAGCCCATCCCCACCGTCCCTCAGTGCCACATCCAAATGATTCTGGAACACCTCCAGGGACGGTGACTGCATCACCTCCATTACATCCCATCCTATTATTGTTACCTGGGAAAAGATGCCAACCCACCTTGCTACAACCTCCTTTCACGTTGTTGTAGAGAGTGACAGAAGTCCAGGCTCTTCACATCAGTGTGTATCACTCTG